GAAGAGGAAAAGGACATTCACGGTATTTTTATGACCTCTGTCTCATTATACTTCTGTAAAAAAAAAAAAAATCTTTGGCAACAAAGTTGTTTCATGCATGTGGTGTGAACAGAGATTTTCGGACCAGTAGAGGATTCAGCCCATTTTATTGTAGTCATAAGGACTATGCTGCAATAGGTTCTACATAAAGCTTTCTCCTGTTGAAGAAGAATCTCTATGAATAAAAGCAGTAGACGATATAATAATTTTGTCAAAGGTTGAATGGCAGCGTTCATTGCAACGTGTCCCAGGATAAACTTTTTGGTGGAGAAGAATGACATCGTTTAATCTTATTTCTCATTGGTACGTAAATTCCATGTGTAATTAGGTTACTGTTTCTTTGACTCCCTTTCTCTCTTCCATCCAACATCATCTTAGCTGTGATGGCAGTTTGTGGCTAAGCCTGGCTAGCCACAGTCAGCTGCAGTTTTGAAACTAGACAACCTTGCTAGTTTGGTGTTGTGCCTTAGACAGTATGTCATGCCAAGGACATGCTCACTGAGGCAGAGAAGCTCCTCAGGTACAAAACTTAAAAAGAATTAAAATAGTTATGGATAGATATCATGGGGGAAAACAGACAACTAACTCTGAATGAGTTTTTACTTATCTACAGTTTTTACTTATCTACAGTCAATGTCAGAGGTAGAGGCTCTCCCTCATCACTGAAGAGAAGGTAGATCCAGAGGAAGAGGTATGATTGGTAGTGCAAACTTCTCCCCACAACAGAGATCTAACACTGAGATCTTCAGAGAAAAGGGAAACTTTAAAAATCTGCAAGGTCTTTGGTCTTTGAAATTGTTTTGTTTAAGAGCCATGTAATTTTAGTAAACCAACCTGTGCTTTGCTTTGAGGACTTAGGATCCTACATCACAGGAGCAGCAAGCTACAGCACACGTAAGAAATTGGAAGACAATTTCTTATTGGAAGACAATTTGCAAATCCAAGCATCAGTCATAAAAGACAAATCCTGTATTTCCTTAGGTGCAGTTTAAAAAATCATCTGGATACTATGTGTCCTGCCTCAGCATCACAGTACTCCAGCTTGTCCCCTCATAAAAATGTTTGTTACTTCTGTTGAAACCTCTCAGCTGTTAAATCAGTGCAATTCTGTAGATCAAGATCCCAGATCATGACCCAAAGCAGGTGGACCAAAAAGAGCTATCTGAAATCCCAGGAAGGTGCTCCTACACCTTTTAGATGTTTTAGAACCTTTTTCATTCAGAAGCCGGAGACCTTCTAGTGTTCTGGTGGAAAAAAATATGAAACAGTTCTCCATAGAATTTTTTATTTGGGAAGCAGGTACAGTTTTGATTGAATCTGTTTCCAGTGTTTTGATTGAATCTGTTTCCTTTCCATATCACCCAGTAATCCTGGTGGCCTACTTGGGAATCAAAAACATCTTTATTCCTAAACGTAGCTCTGAGGGCTGTGATCAGAATTTCAAGGGTCCAAGATGCTGGAGTAGCCTGCCAGCTTGATGCGTGGAGGTGGCTCTCCCTCCACGTCCACTGCAAGATTTGGAAGTTTGTGGCAGATTTTTTCAAGTACCTATTTTTGAAATATCAAAATCTTATATTTGCCGTGCTCTATCTTTAGTCCCACTTAGAAGTCCAAATCACTTTCTTGCACTTGGTGCCCAGTTTCTGATAGTGCTTATTACTACGTGCTGAGAAAGATGCTGCAGTGTAGCTTAAAATCACAACTGTGGAACTTGTCGGCTCACGTTTCCTCCTGCTGTTGATGAGGAACATGGAGGCTCTGTGTTTTCTGAAAGATTCTGAAAGTTACACTTTGTCTGTAAGTTATATTTGAAAAATATCTTGAAGCCTGAACAGCTTACAGTAATTTAAAAATACTCCTGAAATTGTCTACAGCATTTCTGCTTCTAAAGGAGCACAATGTACACTGTCACTTTTATCTTTACTGTAAAGTGTGTCTGCTTACAAAGAAAATACTCTGAAGTTTTCAGGTGTATAAAATACACTGCTTGGGTAGTGCTTTGAAGCCTAAGCAGTTGCTTCATTCTGCTGGTTTCAGTGGTGGAACTAAAGCTGAATTAATGCAGTATTAAGTATTTTTTCTGAATACTGAAATGAATGGATTAGGTCACTCTTTTACTCCCTTTGTGTTTCCTCTGTAAAATTTTTAGAGATCTGAGTTTGCTGTAGTTATTTGATTCAATTTTTCAAGCAAACATTTGTAGAAAAAAATTTATTATAGTGGATGGATGTTGTGGGAATGTGGAGGTTGGTTTATTTTCCCCTCCTCATGATGTGAATTTTGCAAATAACAGTTACTGTGGCATTTATCTAACCACTTGCTGCTAAGGAGCAGTGTTCAATGTCTGATGGAGCATTTTGGGCATATCAAAAATTGTTTACAATCAGTCCAGTAGGGAACATAGCTGGAATAAATTTAAACAGTGAACATGGTTCTGAAAACAATTATGCAAAAAGGACTTCAGCAAAATCCAATTATTTAAAATTGCAGTTTCATAAACCCCAAAAATGTGTTTACAAAAATGTAACCTTAAAAGTGATAAAACTCTGTAATCAATTTGTCATCTTGAAGCATTTTTTACTATAGGCAGTTTTACCTTTTATGGCAGCTTCTGTGACTTTTTTTCTCTGCAATGTAGCTCTCAGCAGTCCCTTTTTACTTGTGAGAATGTTCTTTTTCTTCATTTTTCATTATTTCAAAGCCTAAGATGAAAATATGCAAGTTACTTTGGTTTAATCAGGCAGATTTAGTGATTTCTTTTTGCTTATTTTATCCATGAAATATAATTTACTGTAATTGGTAACATGAAAACTCAAGCTTTAACAACTCACTTATGCTTCTTCAGCTGCTGCAGTCTAGGATTCAGCATGCCTGATTGAGGGTGGGACCAAAAAGGATGGAATCTACATACTGCCATGGGGAGTGACTGGTCCACAGTAACCATGTGGACATGGAGAGAATATTACAGAGAATTAGATAATCAGTCGTTTTTTCATGTGCTACTGGAGGATCTGCAACAGCTGAGCAAGTGATGTTGTGCTGCTGCAGCTCAGGTTTCAGTGGTGCAAGGCACATGAGTGGACAGCAGAGACCATCCTTTCCACCCCCTTGCCTTTCATACTTACAATAAGACAGTATGGGAAGCAGGGCATAAGCAAGTTAAAAGGATGCAGAATGCATTAAGGAAGGAAGATGGATTAGGAGAATGGAATGGAATAGAATAGAATAGAACAGAACAGAATAGAACAGAGCATTTCTGTTGGAAGTGACCTACAGTGATCACCTAGTCCAACTGCCTGACCACCTTGGGGCTGGTCAGGAGTTAAAGCCTGTTATTAAGAGCATTGTCCAAATAACTCTTTAACACTGCCAGGCCTGGGGCATCAACCACCTCCCTAGGAAGCCTTTACAAGTCTTTGACCACCCTCTCCATAAAGAAATTCTTCCTAATGTCCAGTCTAAACTTCCCCTGGTGCAACTTTGAACCATTCCCATGTGACCTGTCACTGGATACCAGAGAGAAGAAATTCACACCTCCCTCTTCACTTCCCCTCCTCAGGAAGCTGCAGGGAGCAATGAGATCACCCCTCAGCGTCCTTCTCTCCAAACTAGACAGGCCCAAATTTTTTAGATGCTCCTCATAGGACATGCCTGCCAGCCCTTTCATCAACTTTGTTGCTCTCCTCTGGAAATGTTCAAAGACCTTCACAAGCTTCTTAAATTGTGGGGCCGAGAACTGCACACAGTGTTTCAGGTGAGGCTGCACCAATACTGAACACAGCAGGATAATCACCTCTTTTGAGTGGCTGGCAACGCTGTGTTTGATGGACTCCAGGACGGGGTTTGCCCTCTTGGCTTCAGGACACACTGCCAACTCCTACCGAGCCTGCTGCTGACCAGCATCCCCAGATCCCTTTCTTCAGGGATGCTCTCCAGCCACTCCTCTCCCAGTTTATACTTGTGCCTGACTTTAATCTGTCCCAGGTGCAGAATCTGGTATTTCAGCTTGTTAAACTTCATGCCATTAATCACTGCTCGATGCTCCAATCTATCTAGATCCCTCTGCAAGACCTCTTGTCTTTCAGGAGAGTCAGCAGCACCTCCCAGTTTGGTATCATCAGCAAACTTAGGAATGGTGCATTCAACTCCTGCCTGCAGGTTGTTGATAAATGTATTGAACAGAACTGGCCCTAAAATTGAGCCCTGAGGAACACCTCTGGTGTCTGATCACCAACCAGATGTAGCCCCATTCACTACAACCCTTTGAGCTCTGCCCTTCAGCCAGTTCTTCACCCAGCACACTGTGAACCCCCTCATCCCACATCTGGACAAATTGTCTGGAAGGATGCTGTGAGGGACAGTATCTAAAGCATTACGAAAAACCACATCCATCACCTTCCCTTCATCCACTGGATGGGTGACCTTGTCATAAAAGGATGTCAAATTAGTTAAATAGAACCTTCCTTTAGTGAACCACTGCTCTGTTAATCTCTGAAATAGAAGTATTTCATTTCTTAATTTCAGTCATTTTTAAACACAGTATTAGACTGATGGTAGCTAAGTTGGAATGTTGTACTTTGCTCTTTGATGTTTCATAAAATTTTTATCCTTTGCTAACATTAGTTAGATTTTTTCTATTTATGTGTTTAATTTTTATTTGATTTAGAGGAAATGTTACCAGATATGAAAAATTTTATCCAAGTCAAATATGCTTTCCATTCAGAATGCCAAAGTACTGTATACTTCTATAATTTGACTGAAAGCATACAGAAAGCAGCAATTTTCTTACCAATATGTGACTTCTACATAACTTGCTGCCTTGGTTGCAGAAAGGACCCCTGAAAGTTTTTGGGTGCAAAACTTGCTGCTTTAAGAAGCATCATTTACTTGTGGATTTTATGTGTAGATAACTAATGAAACATCAATTTTATTGATGTATGACTGACCTTTTATTTCCTCAGCCATCATGTACGTAATGGGAGCACTCGGACCTGCAGCTGGATACTTGCTAGGAGGACTTCTTATTGGTTTCTATGTCGATCCTAGGACAACTGTTTATATTGATCAGAGTGATCCCCGATTCATTGGAAACTGGTAAGAATCAAGCATTTATCAAAACTACTCTCTAAATTTCTGGTAGGGAATTCAAACAGGTTGGAAAATTGTATCCCTAGAGGATTTAGGTTGTAGAAGGAGGCTAAGGAAGATGATGTTTCTGTCAATTACTGCACACTAGCCTCTGGCAGAGAGGAGAAGTTTGCCACAGAATTGCACAGGAACATTGCATGGAAGCTCCCCTACTTTGGCTGCTCCAGGATTGTCTCTGACCACAGTGTGCTCTGGCTGACAATGCTCGGGGATGGTGGGGCGGGATATCAATATTGCAGGAGAGCGTCGAGGATCATTGCTGCCCAGAACCAACCCCTTCCTGCTGGAAGGTGGATTAATCCCTTCTTTAGTTTTTCAGCGGGGGCAGCATGAAACACTGAGCTCTGGATGGCTAGATGAGAAACAGTAGATGTCATTTACCCCAGTCCAGGAGAAGGAGGTGGGATGGAGTCAGAACGTGCCCGTTCCAGTCTTTGTTTCCCAGGGTGATGGCTTCTGTTTAGGCAGCAGACGATGTAAACCATCACATTGTTGTCTAGTAAAGAGTAAGCTTCCAGCAGCACGGAGGTGTAACAGCTGTAATTATTAACTGATGTCTTCAGGCAGACTTTGAGATGTGGCCTCCTTGGAAATGTCTCTTTGAGGAAGCAGATCTTGAGGGGGCTTTAACTGCCTTTTCTCAGATAATTCATAAATCTTCCTTGAAGTTTTCATTGAAGCCCAGAAAGGACTGAAGTTCACTATCCCAGGAAGAGACTTTTACTTTGTAGGTGTAAGGCGCAGTGTGTCAGTTCTCATGCCCTGGGTTACTGTTTGTCACTGCGTCATTGCAGTCAGTCTGTAGCTGTTTCTATTTATTCTGCAGTGATCTCTCCTGAAGGTTTGATATGAAAAATTCTCTTGTTGGAGTCTTCTTGAACCTTTGGAGATTTAGTCCTGCTTTATTTGTCTTAGTCCAACAGCTGCACAGGACTGTCTAGCCGAATTTTCAGCAAGAGGAGGGCAAAGCTGAGTACTAAGTGTGGTCTTGGGGTTAATGACTCTGTTTTCTTGTGTATCCACTGGCTTATCCCACTGAAAAGATTTGTCCTGTGAATGTGCTTCTGTGTCAAAAGCTTGCTTAGAGTATTCTAGGATAAAAGATTTGAAACCAAAGCAAAATATTATACATTCTTTGCAAAACTGTTATGTTTCATGTGTTTTTAAGGACATGTCAGAACTGGTAATCAGCATCTGATTAATACTTTTTGACAGAAATCATGAGCAGGCCCATAAATATATTTGTTAATTGAAATCAGTGGAGCTGTATGATTGTGGGATAAACTTTTTTTAATTTATAACTCAAGCACTGATATAACTGCTTTATTGTGTGGGTATACCTGCATGAGTTTTAACTCATACAGCTCCAGCAAAAGTAAAATAGCCAAAGCAGCACAGACACATCAGTTTGCTGCTTCTAAGGCCACTTTTACCAGGCTCTGTGTCACAACAGGTGGATGGCCACTGCTGGTTTAAAACTAGCTTGGATATATATGCAGTGTTGGTGTAGCCACGTGTGTAAGAGAGGTCAGGCAAAAAAAAACAACCCTGTTCTTGCTCATGAATTACAAGTTTAACCATCCATCCTCAAAAGAGTGGCAGGAATAGATGCACAGTGCCAGGGATGGATCCCTGGTACCCTGTGGGAATGTTGTAACTACCAAGCTCCATGGCAGAACTGGTGATAAGTCGCCTATGACAACCATTCTGTGGGCAGGCTTTGAGAACATCTACTGTACCAGGCATTGAAAGCAAAATAGGAGAAAAAGTCTAGTTTCTGTGTTCAGAAGATTTCAGGTCAAATTGCTAAATAGATTTTATGTATCTCTAAAGTTTAATGTCACTTGAATGAGTATCTTGGCGATTTCAACTTTGTACAGGGGTGCCAGCAGAGGTGATGCAAATATGACTGAAGCAACAGCAGGAAGTCAGCTGTCATAGGATCTCAGCAGGCGAGTTGTATTCTAGGCAGCATAGAAAAGTAAAAGTCATTCAAAGTTTCCTTACTCCATCATGTTGATTAAAGTATGACTTTCTCCAAAGGGTGTTCCGAGTCCTTTTATTACTTTTTCATTTTTGACTATCTCAGTTTTTTCTCTCTTAAATTTCTGAGGAGTATCCCCTGCTATCAGATCTCTGGTGATTTGTTGCACAATCTGTGGTGGCCTCTCATAAAAGTTTAGTGGCATTCATAGCATCTGCATCTCATTCTCTTTTCTCTTTCTGAAGCTGTGTCTACCAATTAAAATGAAGATTCGCATGGTGTGAGGGTTAAACCTTTTTCCCTTGCCACTCACTGACTGCCTGGCTGTAGATAATTCTGGAAGTGTAGACTTTCATTCCACTGAAATCTATTTTCTGGGACTGTGACATTTTCTCCTTGTGGAGAAGTGCTGCATAGTCAAGTTTATTTTTATTTATGCAATTTAACAATTTGAAATGTAAGAGTAGTCTAGCACTTACTTCAGCTGACACACTTTTTAAAAGTAGGGTTCAGTTAAGTTCATGGGAAGTCATATATGAGATTTTCTGAGTCTTATCTCCTTTGAAGTGAATTAGTGTCTTTGATTCCTATCTTTTCTTTATTATAAGGTTTCTATTGTAACTTATCACAGGACCCTGTGAAAAATTTCCATTGTTAAAGGAAGTAATGACTACAGACAAAATAGTGAGTACAATAACTATGATATGTGGCCAATATAAAAGCAGTATAGCCTATTTTTTACTTAAGCTGTTCCTTTCTAGGAGGTTTATCAGAGGACATGTAATTCGGTTTCTCTCTCATGAAACTTGATAAAGCAAGTGATTACTTTTCAGTGTTATTTCTGATCTGATTCTTCCTTGAGTGTCACAGGACTTGGGTTTGTGCTCCTGGGTTTTGCACACCCGGGCTTTCTGTAGATGCTCTGGGCTAAGTTACAGGCCAGCTGTCAATGCCAGCCCATCAAATGTTTAAAACTGCTTTTTATTCAAATGTGGTTACTGTAGGTATATCTGTTAGAAATCATTCATCATGTTGTTGTCTTTCAGAGCTGTTAATGTGCTATACAGGGACCTCATTAGTTGTGGAGTCGCCCTTGGCGATCTGTCAGGTGCTTTGAATCAAATTTTCTTTTTCTGATGCTTTTCTGAGTGTTTTCCTAGTACTGAATCTGTTTAATACTCGGATCTTTCTATATAGTCTTTCATCAACATTCCACACAAGAAGTTTAAAGGAATTCCTCAAGCACTGTCTGGTTCTTCCTTAACTTTAATTGCTTTTATTTGAGGTCCTAGGGCTTGTGGAGATGCCTTTGAGGTATTCTTCTGCATATTTTCTTTGACTTTAGAAGGCAGAAAATCAAGGGCTTTTTAATTAACACAGATCCTGTTCTGACCTCTCAATTTCCCATTGTAGGTGTCCTTATTATTTTTGATACCACCTTTTGTCTGTTTTCCAATTCTTTGATATATCTTGAGGAAGTCGTGAAATGTAGACGGTGCATATAATTGCATCCAGTGCTGCACTTGTGACATCTCTAGCATTTGGTATGCTATCATAATGGTCCCTTTGGATTTAAATTTCATCTCATGCTACATTACAAGCCCTGTCTCCTCTGCTGTTTCCTCCTGAGTGGGTGGTTGCAGATTTCTGCTTACTATTGCCACAGATTGTTTCTTTGATCAGTGCCTTTGCAGCTTATGCCTTTGAGATCCTGAAAGGGATGTTACTACATTTATATACAGTCTGCCGATTTATTCTGTCTGACAGTGCTGACTAATCCTCCTAAAAGTCTGCTTTCTAATCCATGTATGTTATCAGCTAAAATAAATGAATAGAGGATTTTCTGTTTACATAATATCAAAATTAGTCAAAACTTTCAGTCACTTATATTTGCCTTGCAAAAGCTTCCTGTAAGCTTCTTCTAACAAAAATGGTGTTACACATGGCTGTTTGTTTGTTGTTAGCCTGTCTTGTAACCGTTTGCCATACAAAGCATTACACATGCATATGAATTTGCCTTCATTGAAAAATACAGTTGCAATATCTTTGCATTACAGATATGAGGCCAAAAGCTTTTTATTTTTTGTGCAAGTAATCCTGTCTACTCAGAACTTTTAAATGTTAAAAGTTTGAACATATATATAATCAGTATTGTAAAGGTTGTACAAAAATATGTAAAAATTGTTCTTGTATTGGGTTTGCATGGCAAGGTTTTGGTAGTGGAGGACCTACAGGGGTGGCTTCTGTGAGAAGCTGCTGGAAGCTTCTGCTATGTCCAAGGGAGCCAATGCTAGCTGGTTCCAAGAGGAGACTGGCCAAGATTGAGACCACTAGTGATATGGTAGCATCTTTGGGATAGCATATTTAAGAAGGGGGGAAAAAAAACCTGTGCAACACCAGAAGTAGTCAGAAGAGACTGTTCTACATCCTCCTTTAAGAGGAATACAGGGGGCTGGGTCAGTTCATAACACTTTGTCTCTGTTGCTCCTTCCTCTGAACACTCTTCCGCTGCTTCAGCATGGGGTTCCTTCCATGGAAGACAGTCTGTCATTGACTGCTCCAGAATGGGTCCTTTCCACATGGTGCAGTCCTTCAGAAACAGAATGCTCCAATGTGGGTCCCCCATGGGTCGCACGTCCTGTCTGAAAACCTGCTCTTTTGGGGGCTTTTCTCCACAGGCCACAGTTTCTGCCAGGAGCTTGCTCCTGTGTGGGTTCTCCACAGGCTGCAGGTGGATAGCATGGGCCTACAGGGGGATCTCTGCACCTGCAGCACCTTCTCCCTTCCTTCTCTCACCTTGGGCCTGCAGGGCTGTTCCTTTGGTATTTTCTCACTCTGCTCACACAGTTGATGTGCAGTGTTTGTTCTCCTTCCTTAAATAAGTTACCATAGAGGTGCCACCAGCATTGCTGGTGGGCTCAGCATTGGGCAGTGGTGTATCTGTTTTGAAGCTTCTGGAGCTCCCTCTCATGGGACATGGGGACAACTCATGGTGTCATCTCACAGAAGCACCCCTGCAGCCCCCCACCCTGCTACCAAAACCTTGCCATGTAAACCCAGTACAATAAGATTAGTCTATAGTGAAAACTGCACTTTCAGTGGGTGACACTCTGTGAGGGGATTCTTAGGTTGTTCTTCTTTGTGGAATCATCTGTGTGAGGTTATCCGCGTTTCCCTTAGTCTTTCATTGCTAGAATTCAGAGGGGAAATTATGTTATCTGATACTCTACTGTCAGCCTTCTGGCTGCTGGCTCTAGTTACTCTCGAGTACTTTCTAGTAAGGCCCTTTTGCCCGTCTGTGATACTGTGGTAAAGTTCATGAAGCTTTTTGGCTGCAGGCAGGATAACTGTATGCCTGCAGCCTGAAGAGCTCTGTCCTGTATCCCATATGTTGTCCTTTCTGTGGGAACATCCCAAGTCATTCCCTGGGAGCTAAGGAATAGTTTCAGGGTTGTTTTTATATCCTGTTCTTATAAGACAGAGAGAGAGAAGAGGAGATTCTTTGTGAATGGCTATTTCGGGTTGTGGTCGCAGAACAGAGCTGCAGAGTTTGGGGCATAAACCCTGGCATGAGTTGTAACACATCAGTTGTTTACAGTCAGGCTTTGGGAGCTCTTAATTGTGAAGGGAGAGAATTGGACAGTCAGGGCAGTGAGAGGTAGGCACTAGAAAGCAGAACAGATTTAACCCTGTCTGGACATTTTATCTTCTCATGCCCTGGATAACTTATTTTCATGTTCTCCAAAGGAATACTGTGTTGCTTTACTGGGAGTTATCCAAGAAAGGCAAAGTAAAAGTGAGTATCCACTTTTCAGCACTTGGTACTGAACAATTACCAAAAAACTTAGAGCTGACACTATTTCATATTTGGTGGATTCTGGATAAATCCCCTTATCAGTAGACAAGCCAACAGAAACTTCTTCTAATTTAGGGGTTTAGTGCAGTGAAGGCTGTCCCCCACTCCAGTCCTTTACTCTTAGCATATTTCATATTTTGAGAATATGTCTTTCCAGCCAGTGCAGCCTCTAATAATAGCTTTGAATTTTAATTTCATATAACATGTTGACTTTTATTTCTATTCCTGTCTCCTGCATTAGGTGGAGTGGATTTCTCCTTTGTGCCATTGCAATGCTCCTTGTGATATTTCCCATGTTTACCTTTCCGAAAAAGCTCCCTCCTCGGCATAAAAAAAAGAAAAAGAAAAAGAAAATGAACTCTGATGATGTTTCAAGTGATGATGATGTGATGAAAGAGAAGACAAATAGCAAAATACAAGCAGACAGTGCAGTTCCTGCCTCTATGGGATTTGGAAAGAATGTTAAAGGTGAAGTTTGTTTTTAAATGCTTTAAATTTTGTATGCTAGGATTGTATGAGTGTAATTGAAGGCAGAGTTTTGACATTCTGTATTTAATAATATGTTTTGCTATTGTGATTTTATTAAATAGTCATCCTCTAAAATGACAATTTTCTTGACATCAGTTTTCTTGAATTTTTGATGTGTTCGTGTGCCTGTAACAAACAGGTAGGCTACTTCCTATGGTTATGGGACCCTATTACCAGATGTATTTATGCATCTTACAATGTGTAGCTGTCATACTTTATAAGCTGTCCTTCATAGAATAAAGTGCTCTTCTACAATATAAGTGAAACAAGTAAAAAAAAATTGTGGTATGTGAGTTCAATTGCATTCATGCATTTGGGTAATTGAATTGAGAAAGATTATTTGTTTCATATGCGTTTCCTGTCTGTTTTATATGGCAGGCTATTTATTTTCAGAAGGTTAGGACAAATAAAACCTATGCTAATTTTGAAACAAGAAAAGATCAAAAGATTGACAAGTAATAGAGATTTTTGTTTTATTCAAGAAGTAAATCATTAATGTAAAATGTAATAAGTAGTAATTGACAGATTTCCAGGGGAAGAAGGGCAGTATTGCTAAAAATTAATTAATATGAAGCACATAGAATTTAAATTGATTATATATACCTAACAGTATCATAATATTGAATAGTATAGGAGAAAAATGAATGACCATTGTGTTGTCAGTGAGTCCTCCTGAGATTCCATGATGCAAATGCTGGTTGTGCCGTTTTGTGGTAGCCTGGTGAATGCAATGGGACTGGGAGAAATCATGAAATGTCTTTTGTACCATTAGATGTAATTTTAACTCAAAACTTCTAAATGTTTGTTTGTTGACATAGACATTAGTGTTACTTTTTAATTGGATATCAGTCCAGGATATAATAATTGGCAGACTTTTCAATGACACTTTTATGATCACTATGTTGAGTAGATAAAGCTTAGCAAAACCAGCTGGTTTTAGACTAAAACAAGTGTCATTCTAAGTAATGTTTGCACATCTACATACTGGTTTGCTCTACATTGCATTTACACGGGCTCTCTCAGGATACCTGAAGCTACTGTTAATTTCAAAGGAAGTAAAGAAAAAAGAAGAGACCAGAAGTTCCTTGGGGTGATTTTATTAGCTGACAAACCAGCATTTTAATCAAGGCAAAAAACAAGCACAGAGCAAGCATGGTGAACCTCAAATATCAGCTCTTTCAGACCATGCTCTCCCTTTGCTAGCACAGTAGTTGGTGAAGCAAGAAAAGCCTGCTCCTTCTTTATTTGAAGACTCTTTGTTCTCTGTATTTGTGAGTCCCCATATATAATATTTTCTCCTCAATCCATAAAACTAGTTGTGGGTTTTGTTTGCCTTCAAACCTACTGGCTTCTGATTAGTGAAAGTAGGTTAGGTTACTTCTGTCAAGATTTTCTCAGTAACTTAGGGAATTGAGAAAGGGGAGTCCAGTCTTTGCTTGACTCCTTCCTGATCATTTCAGGCAATGTCACAGCAGAGGGACTGCTTCACCCTGTTATTGTGCCTGGTAAAGATACATCTGGATGAGTTTGCTGATGCTAGTTCTCTGGTTTGGTACATAATTTCACCTTCTAGGTCATGTACCTGCAGGCAGAACAGATACAGAGAAAACAAGTATTTGCTTGGGAGAATGTTTCCTAATGCTTTTTTTTCCAGAAATGAAAACTTCTGTATGTCTCATTTTAGCATGCGTTTCTTTGGTACCTGCCTAAATGTGTACCATACCTTCCATAAAATCCTATATTAATTCAGCTTTTGCTATACAAAACTTTTCATTTTCTCTAGAGTAGAAATTTCACCATGTAGAACAGTGAAAAGAAACATGTCAGAATGATACCAAGCGAGTGGAGATAATGCAGAGAAAAGTATTTTGCTATATAGGCTGATAATAGCTTTCCCATTCGGTGTCATTTACCCTAGCAAAGAAGGCCTGCAGCAGGAATGCACTATCATTTAATTATTTTTCAGGTTTTAGTGGGCTTTATGGAATGAGATCATGGCTCAGGCTTCTCAGTTGAGGTTATTTTGTTTATAATGGGAAGGAAAAAAGGATTGCATGTGTCTAAGTCATTTAGCATTGCTTCTTCTGAGATGCAATGAACATTTTATACTTCCCATTGAACTTCAGAGCTTCATCTTTTTATAGCACGATGGGCAGAAACTCCACTTAGGCAGTAGCTGGGAGACTGATGATTTATTAGGTCATATCTTCTGTTCTGTACTAATAAATATCAATGATATCAAAGTCTGCCATGACGCAGGTCAGTAACATCAGATCTGTGAAATCCATGCAGCTTTGGTAGGAAAGTAACTGTTTTGTTCTTCCAATAAGATGTCATCTTACCTAGAAAGCCTCGCAGAGTGATTCTTGTCTTGTTGTAACATGTCCTAATTTCCTAGTTAGCTCTCTAGATGAATGAAAAGGTATCAAAAAGGCATAATGAGAGAGAACCAGTTTTTTTTTTCTGCAATGGCTGCCCTTATAGGCTGAAGAAATAAACCTAAACTGCCTTCATCTGCAAGTAGCTTCCAACTTCAGTGACCTGATCTTTATTTTGCCCCATGGTAGAGCTGAGATCAGATAAAAATACAGATACATCTTTGCTTTTTCACATGTTTTGAGTTGCAATGGCTTGGAATCATCTTTCTTTTCTTATTTATTTTTCCAGGAGAAAATGTGAGTTGGAGAATGCTTCTGAGTCAGTTATCAAAAGTATTGAAGAAAACATTAAGTAGGTCACAGGAGGAAGAAAACTGGATGTAATTTATTGGGTGAAATAGGGGCAGTGTAGATAGCATGAGCTAGAGGAGATCTATAATGAAGAAACCACAATTCAATCCCATACATGGAGATAATCACGTGAATCTGAGCAGACAAAACTACTGTTCTCATTTATTACCTAGATACCCCTAAGGTTTTGTGCCATGGAAATTGTATCTGCAGTCCCTTTCACTTACCACTATAATGAAACTTACTGTGCAATTGAATAAAGGAGCAATGTAAAGAAAGTAAATGTATATATTACCTAAAATATACTAATCTAATATGAATTAAATAATTAATCTAATTAATTACATGTATTTTGTAGCCTTTAGGATTTTTTTTTGGTCCATATGTACAGCCCTTTCTCAAATGTAGAATATTCCTATCCGCGTTTTCATATCTACCAGCTGTTGTATGCTTTTCCCAGTCAGTCCCTATGAGGGACAGACACAGGATAATAATGACTGCCAGAACATCAGCAAAGATAAAATAAATTCCTGAGGGACTCGTGGCTGCAGGATAAGCCCACTGCAGTGCTTCCCCAAGGATCTGGACTGGGGGTTCTGTACTACCTGAAGATTAGTTGGCAGGGATTGGAAGAATAGGAGGAAACGGTGGTCTGTGTGTGAGGGTTCTTGGTGGCACTGTAAATGTCAGAGGGTTCAGCAGACTGTGGGCTGGAGATCCTGCCATACCACTGACCTTGAGCAAGTTGCTCCCCTCTCATCCTTTCTTAGGCCATCCTGAAGAGCTCAAAATAGAAAAGGTTGGCTGGCATGGCTCCCTGCAGTGATTAGCAGTGTTAGCTGGAGCCTCAAGGAGCTCTTCTAAATGAAGTTAACGAAAAGAATAATCATATCAAACTGGTACTGAATCCCTCTACACTTGATAGGATGTTAGGGGCTCTCCAACTATCTAGCCACCACCCAGGTGCTTAAGGCACGTCCTGAGAGTGGAATGAAGTTGTTTATATGGTGCACAAGTAATTAAATGAAATACCTAAATATAAAATACTATTAAATATAAAGTACTATTCTAGAGTTTAATGATTAGCTCCATGCAGTATATATTTGAAGTAGTTGTGTGTGACTTTGCTAGTTTCCATTCTGATAAACAAATTGGAAATTCTGTCACAAATATTTGCTCTGCTTTGTACTGCACATGATGGGGAAGCTGCCCCTGAGACCTCAGTGTGGAGGCAGCCTCCTTCAAAGCTGCAAGCTTGGGTAGTGCTGTCCAGGCTTGGAGCACCAGCAGAATCCTCTAGCTAATATCTCTCTCACGCTTACAAGGGACTTCACTGATGGACTGCAAAAGGACGGTGCTATAGACTGGGATGACTTATTCCACTGATTGTATGCATTGCATTGCCTTGGGCTAGGTGCATAGGAAAAGGGATAAAAGAAAATACATTAAATGATGAAAAAGGAGGTGAAGTCGGAATTATTGGAGTTTCTATTGAAATTCTGTTTACAGTGCTTTAAATTTTTTGTTTAGAACAGTATTTATGAATACTCGTATTATTTGCAGATTTTTCTTATGCTTTTCCCTTACCACGAATCAAGCAGTGGTCCAGCACACGAGTGAAAGAAAATGTGTGCTGACTAGAGAAAAAATATTGTCAAAGATCGTGAAAGTATGAAAATTGGCAGTAGACTAACAAATCAGTCCAGCAAGGCAGGTTTCAGTTTAGTTTATATACTTATATATGTCTTAGTTATATATTAGGTTATTGGAAAAAAAAAAGAAAGATGAGGATGTTTAAGATTTGAGTTACTGTACAGAAGTGTAAATATGTTTGCAGCCATACTAAAAGATTGTTTTAGTTTTAGGAATGTAATTGATAAAGATTTATTTCTTTAAATGACAGAATGAAGGACCACTGCAAGGTCTCATAGGTTTGTTTCTGATGCACACTTGCAAAAACAGGCAATGTCTTTTGAAGACCTCATAAAAATCAAACCTGACAGGTTTAATAATGGCCTTGAAATCAAAGCCTAGGCCTGTGACTAGTCACACAAAAGTAATCTGACATTGAAATGTTTTAAAAGCAAGATTGATTGTGTAGTACAAAGGATCCTTAAAGTTTTTAGCATTCTTGCTTTTTGTTGAAGGATATGAGTTATAGTGCCTTTTTATCACAGGTTTTTAAATTCAGAAGTGTAGTATAGATGCTGTCACACAGGATTTGACGGTGATCATAGGAGTAAATCAGGGAAAACTTGACTCTGAATGTGTGTTTTTATTTCCAAGTTTCTTACTTTATAGCAGCTTTTCCTTGTATGCCAGACAGTTGCTCTTTATAAATCACAAAGAGCTTCAACTCTCAGGTGGCATGTATTAGTGCGGTATGAAGAAATAATCTCTTATTTCATGCCAAAATTTACAGTAATCAGCAAAGCTGTTCCTTGAAGAATCCTTCACATGGATGTAAGAGAACTTGTGCTTATTCCAAGGCACTAAGTTTTATCTGTTTATCAGTAGAAATCCAATTTCAAAATACTAATTAGTTTTGAAATGAATAATGACCTTTAGCCTGAGTGCTCAGATGAGATGCAAGTGGGAGTCAACAGAAAGTACAGCTCTACATATGAAAACCAGAGCAAAATGTTCATTAGCTCTGCAGTTCTTTGCCTAATTAATTCTTCAGTATCTTTAGATTGAAAATTCTAAAGCAGACATTTTCCTATAGCTCAGTTCTATCAGAAAGGGCTTAACTGTACCAGCTATTGTGATATTTGAATCAGGCTCTTTAAAATAATGGATTTAGCAAAGATCTTCAGTTCAGCTCTTGGCCAAGGGCTTTCTACAAAGAGCACACCTTTCATCATCCTAATAAAATGATATTTCTCTCAGTGAGGATACCTTATTATTTTTCTTCCACGTTTGCAGCCCAGGTGAGCAGCTGCTGCCAAATAGCTCAGTTTCCAGGAGGACTGATCCTGGTACTCCCTCTTTCTGCTTTCTGACTCCTTTCTCACAGCAACATCAGCATGGTCATAACTGCTTGCTCCTATTCCTTCTACTGCAAACAGTGCCACTCTTTAAAAAAAACCACAACAAAAAACCTGTAGGTGGTAAAAACCATTAAGATTCAAATATATGAGTGCTTCTTAATATGATTTATTCATTAGTTATTTCCATCAAATTTTGTATTTAACATTTAATATGTTTCTTCATCGAGGCAGCAGGAGAGCATTTGACTACATTAAAATTATAAACCCTGTACTGATAATGAATTCAGTATAAATTTTGACAACTGGCATAAGCTAAGACTGGATGGAGTCAGACAACTTAAGTGCTAATTTGTAACCTGACAAGTTTTGACAAGACGAGAGTCTAAGTTCTGTTCACTTTTATACAGATAACCTACTGGAGTCAGTGGAGAAAGTGAGACAGATTTTTGTCTTGACAACTTATAGCATCAATAAAATTCTCACTCAGTTGTTCTTGATCAACATGTTGTATTTCTAATGGGTGCTCTTTGAATTCAGTCGGCTTTGATTGAAGCACCATTCCGGTTTTGTACCAGGTGAAAAGCAAATGAAAAAAACCTAAACTATTATAGGCTAGATATAACACTTGAACAGAAAATCTGATCTTGGTAGAAGCCCCAAGTTAAAAAACCCCATGTTTAAAATTACACCATTAATTTGAAAAAAATTAAGTGCTGAATAGAGTTATCATCATCTTGTGATGATAATTTGACATCACTACAGGACTGAATTAAAAATATGTATTTCATTAAATGCAGTGTTGAATTTCATGGGGGTTTGATATTTGATTTGAGAATAATTGCAGCATCTATGAATACTTTTTCAATTTAAGTTAATGATGTGCTCTCATTTTTAATTGATTGCTTTATCCCTTCTGAGAATATTAAGTTGTATGTAATATATGTTGAGGTTCACTAATATCATTGATGTAATTTTTTCATTATGCTTTGTCTGCATCTTTGTAAATGCTTTTGAATCATGTAGAAAAATATTTAGCTAAAATATTTTGGTTCTTTTTCAAATGAGAGTTTTATTACCCCAGGTTTCCGAGCATGGTCTTTGAAGCAGAGGGTTCAGGGGGCAGTATATGGATCTGTTTTCCTCCTATGGAGTACAAAACAGGGTACTGTCAGTTCAGCAATGTGATATATGTTAACTCATAGAAAATTTCAAAATAAGACATCAGAATAATTCCCAAATCACTACATTTTATTGCTGTTTTCCTTTCCATTATAGTGTTACTATGTAAGCCCTGTTTCTTGAGATGGTTTTGTTAAAACAGACCTCAGTTGTGTTTGTGCAAAGTGGGACTGCAGCCCTGGGGCAGTGCAGTGAGATAGGGTAAGAGCAGACAGTGAGGGCTGCCCTCCCAAGTATGCACTCTCCCCCTCTGCTTAGCAAATGTAACCAGATGCTAGCAAGCCATTATTGCCAGTGTGTCTCAAGGAAAATCAATTGGTCTTGTTTCAGTTTGCTTTTGTTTCTCACTCATTGTTTATAACATTCGTTTGTCATTTTTGTCATTTTATAGAGCTTCCAAGAGCAGCTGTCAGGATCTTAAGCAACATGACATTCCTTTTTGTGAGTTTGTCATACACAGCTGAGAGTGCCATTGTCACAGCTTTTATTACCTTCATTCCCAAGTTCATCGAGTCACAGTTTGGCATCCCAGCTTCCAATGCCAGCATCTACACTGGTAAGGTTTTGCCACGTAATGTAATCTTGCAAGGGTTAGCTTTGACTAATGGAATGAATCAATGTAGGAATGAACCAAAAATATTTCCAAGGGGAAAAAAACTGAACAAAAACAAGTTAGAAAACCCATAGACATTGCTGCAATTTGTGTGCCTTAAAAGATCTCTTAAAGCTGTTCTTATTTTCTGTGAATTTTACTTCCTCTTTGATCTTTAACATATCCTTATCTTTTTTTATTCCCCCCAGTGACAAGTTGTTTATCTGTCCTATCCTTCAGTTATCTCTCCCCTCCAGGCTGTTGGTTTTCTCCTTATTTACTTATTGACACTGTGTGCACAACAATCTGGTCTAGTAAGGAGAACTCCCTAAATCCTCTCACACCTGTCATTTCAGGAGACCTCTATTTGCAGGTGTGGCGCTTCCCCTGCTGCCACAGCAGTGTACAGCCACGTCCAACTTTTAACAGAGCTACAAACCACAAATTTTTAAGCTTTATGCTGCTCTGTGAGTGGATGAGGTTGCAACTTTCCTAGGAAAAGAGGCCAAAATATTGTGCAGAATCAGGGCCTGTGTCATGCAGATGAGGTTCCTCCTCTTCTAGCTGCATGAAAGACATTTGTCTTTATAAGCATCTTTTTAACTTCTCCATAGTGCTTACCATATAGGATAGCTGCTAATTGGTAGACTGGGTAGTTCTTTGCTCCCCCATACTTTCAGATACTGTGCAGGAGAAGAAGCAATGGAGTGGAGTGAGTTGTGGGGACAGGGGTGAAGCTGCCCAGGGGCATCAGTCAAGAAAAAGATAAAAAGTAGCAGAAGAAAGAGGGAAGACACATAGACTTCAAGTGGGAATCACTTGTCACCTGCAGTGGCTGGAAGAAATGCAAGGAATCTTTCTGGAGTGTGGAGGGGAAAAGTCGGAGAAGCACCATGTGGTGCTTTCTATTTGAGAGCTTTCTGGGATGAGATTTTCTTCAGGGCGTGAAATCCTTGTGTTATGTGTATAAGGAAGAAACATTGGTTGATGGGATGGTGATGCTCTCTGAAGCTTTGAGTAGCTACACACTCACAGGAGTTTTACTATAATGAGTCTTGGTAGGATTGCTACTCCACGACTTGCTTCATTCTCAGGATAAACTGGAAACATTCTTGCCAGAAAAAATATTTAACAACCAGTACATTAAAAGAGGTAAAACTGGTGTCACCCTGTCCAGGGTGTGAAGTTATTAATGTCTGTTGTTTTCCCTGTTATAAATCACTTGATAAAGAGTATTATAATGAACGAGAAGAAGTATCTCAGGCTGGATGTGCAACATGAACAAGTGAGAGCTGCTTACACAATCCCAACTCCTAAATGTAGTATTAAAGTCAACAGTTGTTAATTTTATAAATATTTTTGGTAGGTTAAAAGGGAGAGGGATACTTAGAGATTTTGTATTAGATTGCTACTGGCTAATATAGTAAAAGACATGTCAAGTTTAAAAATTTTCTGATTAGCAAAAGGAGAATTTACATGTTATTTACATTATACATCTATGCTTAATACATTCATTGCTGGCTGAGTACATGTGCTTCTTGAATCTCTTCATCTAAAGGTTTTGTTGGTAATTTTTTGTCTCTTAAGCAGCAATTCTTTATTTAAGTCTCAATTTCTTTCTGTTTTTAAACAAACCTGACATTAATCATCATCAAAAATACCATGTGCCAGACTTCATGTCTTGAACCTGTGCAGCTTATACATTTAATTTCTGCTCTTATGAGAAAGATATTTTTGATTCTGTGAAGGGTTATTGTTTAGAATCTTCCTCATGAAATGATATTTTATTCAATAATGCCATTGATGATGGCAATATAAATAAGGTGCCAGCTATTTTTACCTCTTATTCTTACTTTCACAATCTCCACATTTTTATAAATGTAATGTCCCATTGAACTTAGATGAATTAACAGAGAATGAGTATGCTTTGCAGTAATATTAAAAGTATTTGTAAGCAATAGTCTTACTGGATTCTTTAGAAAGACCAACGTTTCTAAGAATTTGGATTATATAGTTTAGCTTCTCTGTAGATGCAGCTGCCTAAAGTAGTTCAAATTCCATGTTTATGTGGAATGCATCTTTATTAGCAAAGCCTTACTTTAAAGACCTTCTCAAATGTCAGTGAGAAGCAAAAGCTGAGGGAAGAAAAGTGCAAGACATTTGCTGACTTAACGTGACCTCAGGACCCGACAAGTGAGGACAACCCAGGGATGTGTTGCTGAACTGCCACCTTATAACTGCAGCAGTAGAGCAGCAGAAATTTCATAGGCGCATCTTTTGTGTCTTAAACTTACCCTAATTCTATCCTAATGCAATCCTAATTTCTTTAATTGCATTTGATCAGTTTACACTCCGCATTTCTGTGCTGAGATGAATTGGAGTGCTGATGTAGGAATCGTAGAATCATAGAATCACTAAGGTTGAAAAAGACCTCCAAGATCATCAAGTCCAACTGTTGGCTGAACACCACCACGTCAGTAAACCAGAGCGCTAAGTGCCGCATCTCGTCATGTCTTGAACCAGGGATGGAGACTGATCTAATACTTAACCCCCTTTTCAGTGAAGAAATTCTTCCTGATGTCCAAGCTGAACCTTCGTGGTGCAGCTTGAGGCCATTTCCTCTTGTGCTGTTGCTAGTTGGCTGGGAAGGTGCTGTTCAAAGTATCCAGAAGGCAGAATTTGCAGCCAGGCTCACATGTGCACTCCAGGGTGGGCAGGCTTCTGGGGTCCTGCCTGAGGTTAGCACTTGTGCTTCGCTGGAATTAATCATGAGAGTAGGAGGAGGAAAATTCATGTCCAAGTCCAGATTTCTTAAAATTTTCAGGAGTTAAACTGGACCAATATGTAGTCTTTCTCCCCATTCTAAAATAAATACAAAGCAATGTTTCTGCTTGGAACTACAATAGTTCTCTTATAGTGCTTTGGCTGCTGCTAATATCATAAGGAGGCTTTTATAGATTCTTTGACAACACTCCAAAGGTTTGAAAAGTCTGACTCAGTTTGCTAGCAGAGAATCAGACAATGGAGCAGTCATCTAATTAGGGCATGAAACCAATATTTATGTTTTATACCATTTCTGTAGGTCCTGTTTTAATGTTTGAATTTTTTCCCGGCAGGTGTGATTATTGTCCCAAGTGCTGGTGTTGGTATTGTCCTAGGTGGCTACATTATAAAAAAACTTAAACTTGGTGCAAGAGAGTCTGCAAAGTTGGCTATGATCTGCAGTGGTGTATCTCTGCTGTGCTTTTCGACACTCTTCATTGTTGGATGTGAAAGCATTAATTTAGGGGGAATAAATATACCTTACACAACTGGGTAAGTATCTGTGGCAAACCCAGCTTTTTCCAATAAGCCTGATCTAGAAATGTAAAAAATGCTGATAGCTGATGTACTGAAGAAGCCGCATATTCAAATGAGAATTCAGTGAGTATTGTGATATAAACACATGCTGTTACTGTGTGGCACTTCTTTTTTACATCTGCTTTATAATGAAGGTTACGTAGTAACCCACCCTTTTGAGGAGTGGGGAAATGCATTAGAGTGAACTTCAGTGATTGTTGCAGAAAAATAAGAATAGGATCCTCTCCAGATTACTTAGAATTTAGTTGATGTTTCAAAATATTTTCTTATCATGAAAATTGTGAGAATACTAAAGGGATTATAAAAATTATTTCTGAATGGGTTTATTATCACCATAATGGTGTCTTAGATCTACAGTCCCTGTTTGAGAGGATGAACCTTAGCGGATGTGCTATCAACATTATTGGTGCACTTACTAGTTGTATGAATGCCCTCCAGTTCTTGCTGGGTCATCATCAAGACAGTGACCAGATCATGTCTCCTAAAGTTACACTGAAAGTGAAGAAGGCTGTAATGAGAAAAAAGATGTGGATGTAGGAAAGACTTGGGAGTGAGGAATTTAATCCGTGACATTAGGAAATGCACGGAAAGGCATTTTAAAAAAAATAAGGGGTATTTGGAGGGAAGACAGTGTGCTAAAAGTTCTGAGAGTTTCACTCAGAGGTGATTCCTTGGAAGCCCTATAATGAGCTTTTATTTTTTCTTATTTTGTACATTAAATTTTCCCCAAAATTGCCTTCTTCATATAGGTTAAAAACAAGAACAGAGTAAGTGTTTGAGGAGTGTGAACCTATCTGAAGCAATTTTTCTCTTTGCTTTTACATCTGAGATGCATCTGCCTTTTATTTGTGACCAGGTACTGGGTATCAGATCCATTTGTTTACCTTCTTTTTAAGGCTCAGCTCTGAACTCTTTTAACATTTTGAAGAGAGTGTAGAAGTGTGGAGCAGGAAAAGAGATGATCAAATGGAGAAAAAAAAAGTGTTGCCATGATCTAGGAAGTGAAAAACAAAGAGTCAAAGTGGGAATCAAGGGAGGAAGAAAATAGACATTGTTTACACTGAGAATGTTTTGCATGGATTGTTTCTGGGTGTTACTACGTTGCTGTCAAACCTTAATCTTAGGGCAAAGAAAACCAGGAACTGAAAATCATGAGCTGATAGAAAGCTGGTTTACTCCTTTGTATTCTTAGTATCTAGAGTTAAAGCTTGATGATGGGGGGCTGTCTGTAGAAGGGAGTAGCATGGTGATATATCCTCATCTGCATAGTGGGCTGAAGGAGAGAATAGGGATGGGAAAGAAGCGGGTGGAATGCTTTGAGTGTCCACCTGCTGTTAATGTTTGTGACAGCCTGTGGGTGTAGACGAAAAACTGAAAATTATTAGGAATGAAAATATAAATTCCAGATAACAATTAGTTGATCTGTGTGGCAAGTCAGAATGTCCCTGCCTGGCTAATGAGAAAACTGTATCTTTCTGCTGGGGGAAAAAATCCTATTTGATTCAAATCTATTTCTAAACTGAAGACAGAGCATACTATTCTATGTAACACATAGCCGTCATGCTGGAATTGTAAGAGTATCTAATATTTTTTTTGTCAGTAAGTAATAACACTTGCAATAAATACATAACATGAATTGAAATAGGCATCTATTCACAGGTGGTGTGAAAATCTGCAGTAGCATTACTTCTTTACCTTCATCTAATTGTTCTTATTGAGAAAAGAGGTGAGAAATGGTAATGGCAAAATTCTCACAAGTGTTGATGTATATAAACTCTTTGAAATGAGTATAAAAATTAATATAATTAGACTGTGATGTCATGAGAAATTGAGAATTATCAGCATGCTATAAAGCATAGTTCAGGAGTTTCAGCCAGATTTTTTTAAACATGGAGGTCAAATCCAGATTTATTATCAAAATGATAGTAAAAAGGCAGCACTACACATAAATTTATCTTGAATATCTGACATGATAAACATTCTCTTAATCCTCATGGTCAATAATTTGATAGTTTCAAATCATTTACTTAGTAGGCAACTTAGCTCAGACATCAAAAAATGTTATTGTTCATGTAATAAAAAAGCATGCTTTCATTTTGAGGTTTAATAAAACACATACTTCATTCTGTGGTTCCAGTGTAGTGCAGTATACGGACATCAAAGCCAGTTCAACAGGCTAGATCAGATAGAAAAAGCAGTACAGCTACATAGTTCGGAATAAATGTACTGCATGATGCTCTACCTTAACACTCCAGTGCCGGGTCTGATGTGTGAACTACCTGCACTGGCAGCAACCCAGAGAGCTCAACTGCATTTGGCAGTGCAGACATACCTTGCAGGATAATCTCTGGACAAATGTGGTTCTTTCTATTGTTGATTTCTTATACATTTAAAAAGTAGGGGGTTTTAATCTGATGAATTGAGCCATAAACCAATACAGAGGAGAAGGACAAGCTGGGTTTCAGTTAACACAGAAGTATGTGCATACCAGTACTCAGTAAAGTAGGCAATGACATTTCATAATTCAGTATGTTTCATAACTCAGTATTTTTCCAACTATACCAGCTGTGAGGAAGTGGATGGGACCTGGAGGCATGCACAGATTAGAATACATTAGAAAGGATTTTCTGCTGTTTTATGTTGGGCACACGCAGTTTTGCTTTTGTTGGTGTGTCATCAGCATTTCTGTTATCAGGAAGATCAAGGGCACCTCTGTATTATACATCTCAGCATTTTAGAATCTGGTGTTCCATGCCCCAACCTTGTCTCTGAGGGCATGTTTGATATTTGAACGCAGCGCAAGGAGTCTTATGTCAAACCATAATATGGCATCCCTTCTCTTGCACCATAACCAGTATCCAGATGGGAAGTCCTGAGTCAGTGAATTGCCTCCTTGTCCAGATGGTTTTTGAATAGCTCCAAGGAGGGAAGCTCTGCAGCCTGCCTGGTCAGCACTGTCACTTTCACAGTGAAAAAGTGTTTCCTGGTGTTTATAGGGAACCTTCTGTATTTCAGGTTGTGACCATTACCTCTGGTCCTGGTACTGGACACTACTGAAAAGAGCCTGACTCTGTCCTCTTTGTACCCTCCCTTCAGGTATTTATGGGCATTGATGAAATCCCCCTGAGCCTTCTCTAGGCTGCACAGTCTCAGCTTTTCCTCAGAAGAGAGATGCTTCAGTCCTTTCATCATCTTAGTGGATATTCACTGGTCTCTCTCCAGTGTATCCATATCTCTCTTTTACTGGGGAGCCAGAACTGGACTCAGAACTGCAGGTGTGGCCTCATCAGAGCTGGATAAAGGGGAAATAGCAGAGATCAGCTACTTTGGTTGTTTCAGACCTGTCTCTTCCATCTTTTATGGTATAAGGCAGCTAAAACAAGCTCCATGGGGAGCTTACTCATAGTGACAGATTCCTGGGTTAGTACAGTTCCATCTCTCACATTTCTGATATGTAATGAATCAAAACAGACCCTTTTTGATTGCTTTCTGTTGTTTTGGTGCAATTAAGGTGTAGTTACAGGATGTGATTGACTTACTGAGGCATTTTCTATAAAAAAAAAATTGTATTCTTCTTCTAGTACCACCAGTTTGAGTTTTTGTATCTATTTCAGTCCAATCAGCCAGTGGGTTCCCTTAACTTGAAGGCAGTGACTAATTGGATCAGAACAATAACACAAAGAAAGATTCCAGCTAACATAGTCAGAGGGTCCCTTGTTTTACAGCTACACAAAAATTGCATCATTGCTTCAATTCCAGCTGCTTGCCAACAAGGAGACTGCAGATCTCTGCCATCCAGAATGTCCTTCAATACCAAACTAAAAGTATTGCTATCAAATTAATATAATCCTTTTTATCATATAGCCCAATGTTAATATTATAGAAATTATGTGGTGATCTCCTTTCCTTTGTATTTTCTTGGTCCTGTAGGTTACTACAGTGATCTGAATAAACATGAATAAAACCACGTGCAAGCCAATTCTTTGTTTAGATGTTACCAAAATATAGTCAGACATGCTTGGTTTGCTTTTTTTTTTAACTGCTTTTCATTTAGATTGTAGCCTCATGGGAAGAGGGTCCACCTTTTTTTTGCCCCGATGTATGTGCATTGACTGCCGGCACGATGAGGTTTCAGTCCGAGTATGTGAAATAACAGATCACAGCTCTAAAAACACCACAGCTCTAAAATAAATCTCACCTTTTATTTTCGCTTTTCTTACTTCACTCCTATACCACAAGCCTTCCACAGAGTAATAGTTGGAGAGAAGACTAGGATTTAGAAAAAAATGTTAGAAACTGGAGTCCCTTTCATTGTTAGTCATGTCTAATAAAGGTCTTCTCTTTATTAGCTTTACTAGTATTGTGTCATGGAGACACAGAACAGTCTCCTTGAGAAGTGAATAAGTGCAATTTGTCAGATGGGATTCTGGGTTTTGTCCCAGCACACATTTAGCAAACTTGCAGTTCGATCTTATTAATGAAAGGAGTGGCATCATTGTTTGTAATTGAAAGAATAGTTCAGGAAATGCTTCTGTTTGGGGCTGGTTTCTGTCAGTGTGCTCGTGCATGATAGCTGTCCTTGGCAGCTCAGGTGCAGCAGTGTTGCAAGTTGTCAGCATCTGCACCCACTGAAACAAGCAAAGTGGCTGTTTCTCAGACATCCTGTGTGTATCTAAAGCAGTTGGTGCAGTGAAACTAGAATACTCATGAGCAGGATTTAGTAGCTTTGGTGCAATTTCCATAAGAGCCCGATCTTTATGACTGATGCAGGTAAATCTGTGATGTACTGTGCAGTCATTCAGGGATCAATGCTCTATTTTCCTTTGTGGAGAGTAGGCAGCCTCCCAGCGTCAGAAGGCAGGATTAGTAGAGTACTTTGGTTCAGCTTACTTCTGGAAAAATACATACCTTCAAGAAAAAACCCGATCCCTTCCTGAAAGAAGTGTTCAAGAAATCTGTTATAATATGTGCTATATGGTAGATCCTATATGATGAAAATGGAGTTATGTAGATATGTGTTAATAGAGAGTTTCCCATCATTGAAAGAGGAGTGAACAGTGAGTGAATAGAGAAGGTAAAAAGATGAAATCATGAACCTCTTACAACTGTCTTATAATGAACTTTTGGAAATGCAGTTAATATATGATTTTGTGTATTACATGTTCTTGAAAGCATGCAAAAAACCAAGCCTCTTTGTGTTAAAGACATTTGCTCTAAACAACAAAAAGAAATCCCCCACATAAACCTTACACTGATATGCTGAAGTATAAAAGGTGGTGAAAGCTGGAGAGACACAGCATGTAGTAGCTTGTTATTAATTTGAGCATATTTGCTTTGCATATCTGTAAACTTAAGTCTTCTTCTGGGCCAAACAAAAAAATGCCCCTGAGATTAAATTATCACAGTGGTCTCACTTCAGTTCCCAGTTTCATGCTTCTCATTTCTTGCATGCCTGATTTCATTCATCTCTTTTTTTTTAAGCTGATTTCCTAACCTCTGTGTCATGTTAATTCTCAGCAGTGCAGCTGAATCGAGTTAGCTACATAAGCAGACCAAGACAGGGAATGGGCTCTCCTGACTGTGGAACAACCCAACTCATCTGCTGCTGGAAGGGTTTTAGGTGATGGAGGGATAAGAGGTCAGAAGAATGTGCCCCACGGGTTGGGATAGGTTGAAGAGGGAAATCTGAGCTGTACCTTTCCCGGCAGTCTGGCCTGCCCCTGGACCTGTCCCTGTGCAGTGTGGTAAAGCCCTGTTGTCAGCAGGGATGTGGGCGCAAGGGTCTCCCAGGCAGGTCATGGAGTCCCTTCTTACCTCAAATATTCAGGCATTTGGGACATCCAGCTCAGAAAGCAGACTAGGATCTTGTAAAACTCCAAAAATGCTGCCTCTCCTGTTGGTGTGAAAAACTTCTGTCACTGTGCTGCTGAAATCCATATGTTCCTGAGGAATGTTTTGATGATTTGGTGTTTTCCATCGGAAAAAAATTTCTGTTGAGAGATTACTGGAAAAGTCTTGTCTGTTGCTACATGACGTGTTGCTGCATATTGCTTACTGAAATCCAGTGTGATATAATAAGACAAGTTTCAGCTGATAGCTGAGAAGGCAACATAACCAATATAATAAGACAAGTTTCAGCTGATAGCTGAGAAGGCAACATAACCAATATTAGTCTTGGATATTTAATTTCCTGCTCAAGCTGCAATTTGTTGCTAAAAGTGTGCCTTATTTGTTTGTAGCACAAGAAAGACTGTAGTTGGTTAACATCCAACTAGACCATAAAGTGTAAAGTAGCTGCAGGAGCTAAATTTGTGAACCTGGTTTGTGTGCTCAGTAGACAATCAATAAATATTTAAAAGCTACATAGTAATATTTAATTGACTGCAAAAGTGCACAGCTGGAAAGACAAGCAAATAGTAGTATATAAATACAAGAAAACCAGTCAAGTGGAATGCTCTAAGCAGCAGTTGTACTACTTAGTGTCACTGCTGACAGGAGGTGAGATGACAGACAACATGATGACAATTGCTGTGCGAAGAGTGGCTCCCGAGCTGAGCCTGGTCTAGTCAGGTGTAGAAGATGGGAGCAGGAGAACATCCCCTGTGGTCCATGGGGTAGCTGGAATGCAGTAAGTCTGATGTTAGCTGTTTATCTTCACAGTGGTCTTGCTCATGCATCACAGATGCGAAGACGAGATAACAGCAGCCCTTGTGAGGCTCTGCAGCCATGGCAAGCTGTGAGCATGTGTACAGGATCTTGAGGATCCAGATTCCTGTTCAGCTCCTGCCTGGGTGAGGAGGTGCTGAAATTCCCTTGGTATCTACTGATCTGCTTAGAGTAGAGGTACTTGAGGTAGTTTTAAACAGCAATGGCCATTGAGCAGTACTGAGAGCAGTTAATTCAATATTACAGTGTGGTGCCTGGTGTGGAGTGGTTGTGCATACCGGTGTAATTTTCCAAGGCAATATTTTAGCTTATGGTGCATGTGCAAATACTCATGCCCCAACAGAACTCAGTACTTAGCTCTATCTGGTTTTGCAGATTCTGCAGGGATCATACTGGCTTTTGTTCTCAGAAACTCAGGTCTTCTGGACTGGACTTCACATGCACCGCAGGCAGAAATACAATGGAGCCTGCAGTTCTGCTTACCACTCAGGTGTGAGAAGGCAAAGGGCAGAGTCTTCTGGAGTTGGGAATTTTCATACATACATTCTAATTTCTGGAAAAGGCCTTTAAATTTCACTCCTGCAACTTCTCCTCTTTATCGCATTCAGTCTTGCATGGATTGCTTCAGTATTCTTTAGAACTGAGTTTTTATATCTAATCAGTGAACTGCTGGAAAAATGATGCAGTGGACACTTCATTTGTGAAAAGACTGTCAACTAGTTTAAAAGTATTGGGCAGGAAGATGAAGGAGGGACAGCCTTGTGACACAGAGCTGGGCAAATCCAGTCTTGTGGGAGTGGATCCAGAAGCTGTACCCCTCTGTGGATTGAGACCAGGGATTGTAGCCATGAGCTGCAGCATCTTGCAGTCTCTGAAACACTGGTGAAAGGTAACACATGAAGTATTTAATCTCTCAAACTAACGTAATGACAGACTGAAGGGTTCTGATACCAGTGTAATAAAACCCACAAGATAAAAAATTATCCAAAACCGCCTTCTCAAAGCACCACCTTCTTCCCTGTTCAACTACTATGCACTTTAGCTATGGAAAGTCACGAATCCATGCGGATGACAGACTGCATGGCCCTGTCTTCTGACCTAAACTAGGTCTCTGACATTATGATTATTGTGGAGAATGTAGAGGAGTGCATTGGCTGAAGAAAGCTTTGGGACATGTTTGAAATAATGTGAATTCTTTCCAAAACCCACATTAAGCATATTTTTAACTCTTGAATCTCAGACGTGAGTATCATACCTATTCTCAAGGACTACTGAAGTGAAGTAAGCTACTGTTTTTATTTTGGCCAGAGCTCTCTGAGACTAAGCACAGACTCTTGTGAAGTTTTAGGGAGCCATGTTGGTGCAGGTATTTAAACTGCTGTGACTCAAAGATGGGAAGGAAACATTTGAAAGATGTCTGAATCCATAAAGCATGTATGTGTGTTTCCCACTGATACCTGCTTTATTAGCATTGGCCAGTGTGTTTAACAGTTATTGTGGAGGAGATAAGAACTGCCTGACAGAGTGTTTTTGCTAGGAAGTCAGGAAATTGGTTGCTACAAAAATTGCTCACCTTCTGTGTGGTACCCTCTCTCCAGCTGTTTAGCACTTAAAATCCTAGAGTGCAGCTATGACAGTAACCTAATAAAGTGGAGGGGGTCCTAAGTAATAGGAGAAGCTTCACCTGAAAATGCTGATATCAGCTGCTTTTCAGTTTTCAGTGGCTTGGAATCACTTTGTGCAGTGAAGAGGGAGTGTGGGTGCCATGAATTCGGGAGCCATGATTTCTTTACACAGAAAGGGATTTAGGAAATCCCTTGGCCCTTAGCTTCAGCCAACCCCATCACCTGGCAATAGATTGGTATGAATAAGATCATTCAGGTAACTTTTCCATTGCCTTAATGCATTCATGTTGCTGACAGCATTTTAAACCAAGGTGAAATTACAAATGAGATGCAGAAAATTGAACCAGCAATAAACCACGCTGCGGAGTCTTGCTTTACCACTTATTAAAATTAATTTAGCAACCTGAAACAAGTCAGAGAATGTGAAAAGTGTAGTAAAAATAGATTAAAATATAATATGGGCCATTTAAAAAATCTCACTTGTAATTTGGCTGCATAATGACAGCAGCAAATAACTTAGGTTTCAGGGTGTGTCTGTATGTATATTGAAGTGGAACAGTTATTTTCTTTTTGGTACCTGAACTAGCGTGTTCAGAAATAGCAAGGATAAAAGATAGTACTTTATTCCTATACCTTCAGGTACCTTCTGACACGATGCCTTCAGGTAATACTAGATGTGATTATATTAATTAGTATTAGATGTGGCTTATTGAATTGCAACTACAGGATTTCACTAGAGCAGTAATAGTGAAGAACCTGCTCTTTGGTGTGTACATCTCCTTCAGCTTTGAAATTCCTTTTAGTTCCTTCATTCTATATCACCAAACCCTTCAGGGGAGCACCTAGAAAGTTGAGCTTTGGCCAGATTTTGGGGAATGGTCTAGTGCAAATGGAGCATTGGTTCTTTTACAGACCTTTAGTAAAAGCAGAACAGTCTCCCAGATCTTGAGAGCTTCATGTAGATTTCACGTGTACATATGAATAATATAAGCAATAATTTTTCTAAACAGTTGTTGGTACGTGGGAAGAGATGCCTGTTAGTTCACATTAGTTCACAGAATGCTTACATCTTGTCACTGAGCCTTTCGCTAGTAATCAACAGCTTAGGATAGGCATATAAAATAGCGGTGTCTTAACTCTTAAAGGAAAAAAAAACAGGGGAAAAATACAGCTATTACCTAGGCAAATATGATACAAATTTGAAACTTTATTATTATATCTTTCATCGTGTTTTTAGTTGATGGCAGGAATGACTTTAGTATTCTTCTATATTGTTTAAGTCATGTGCATAACCTAGAGTTAATGCAGTTTTTTTCTGATAATCAACTCTTAAGTTCCAGAGCTAATGAGTAGGATGTTTGCTCCCTCTGTACAGGAGGATATGGATGTCTGTGCTTGCTCTACTAGCATGTTCTTTTTCCTTTCTTCAGTCCCACTCTTGCCATGGCCCACAGGAATCTGACTGGAAGCTGTAATGTTAACTGCGGATGTAAGATTCATGAGTACGAGCCTGTCTGTGGATCAGATGGAATAACATATTTTAATCCTTGTCTAGCTGGCTGCATCAGTGGTGGAAACCACAGCACAGGGGTAAGTGCTTCACACCCGCGAGTAACACCACAGGACTGGTGCAGATCAAAGACTGCTCAGTTTCTGGCTCAAGCATCTCTCCTCTAAGCTTCAGATACATTGCTCTACAGCTGACTTGTCCATCTCTGAGTCTTTCCATGTTCTGAAAGGCTAGTAATGCTACTATTGTATGGTCTCATCCCTCTTCCATTCAGTTGTGTACAAATTTGAGGCACAAGTTCATTTGTACCAAGTGAACCCCTCCAAATGAGAGAGTGCCATGGGGTGGAGAGGGCTGGTGTTTCCAGTACAGACCCCAAAATCCCTGAGGGCAGTGGCCTGCATTTCTGATGTTCCTGCAGGGCTTGGAGAGGGGACCTTGAGTAAGTGTCATCTAATTCACCTTTCTCTGAATGTGGGTGGCCATGTCATACTGTCTTTCTTCAAGCTCAGTGTTACCTTTTAGAGCAGTTTGGGGATTTTTTTTGACTCCCTCTCTGAACTGAAGGAAGAACTTCACTCTTCAGATTGTTGGAATTGATTTAAACTTCTATTTAAATTTAGTTAGGGCCTGTTTAATGTCATTGGTGTTTGTGTCAGCCTCATCATTTTGCACAAGCAGCTCTTGAACCTGCACCAGTGTACTGATAGGTCTGTTGTTTGTCCAGCTGGGTGAAGACTGCCCATGTATTCTGCTCTTGTAAAGCAGTTTGACCATTCCCATGTCCTTTTTCTAAACCTCATCCAGGCTAAAGGAAGGGGCTGTCATCAAACTCAAATAACCAGAACTTAAAAGATGCTAATAATCCATTTTCTTTCTGTGAAATATATTTTCTGTTACAGCCCGGTATTTCAATTATGCTGGACTGGAGAAGGACATCCTGATGGTAAAATCAAGCCATGAAAATTTGGCAGTTTTGAGGACTGGGCACAAGAAAACAGTTGAAAAGTAGAATCTGACTTAAATATCAACAGAGCATTATAGTCATGCTAGTTTCATAAAAAAAAGGAACTCTTAAATTCTTCTGTTTCAGAACTATCCTTTAAAAAAGGATAATTAAGAAAGACAAGAAGTAATATAAACATTGATTTTCTCGGGGCTTGATTGTGCTTTCCAGAAAGCTTACTTTATAAAGTATCAGTCTTCTGATTTGCAGTCCTGAGCCAGCCTGTGAAGCAGGAGGATGTTAGGTCCACCACTAAGCTTTGTCAGATCTGAAAAAGCAGGTTCATATATAGATGTCACTGAGAACAGATTAGTTTCCTTTAAAGTTTTTTTTTCTTTTTAGATTATCTTACTGGTTTTTAGTAGAAAATTGCTTTGGCCCAATATGGAAAAGCCTGTGATGTGAGCCTGTGGTTAACTTTCAGTTTCTGTATAAACCTAATTTGTGCTTTCCTGGATTAAGATATAGGTTTGATCTTTGCTGCATTTCACTTGATATCAAACTGGCGCCAAGTAATTTAGTAGGGAAATACTTTAGGAGTATGTGCTCTTCAGTACAGATTTTGAAACATACTATCTCCTCCTATGATTTAAGAAAAGATGCTTCATGGCCTGAAGTCTTAACTCAGCAGCTAATGGTGAATTCTTCATGTTCTGGATGATGAACATGAACAGAAAACAGAAGTACCATTTGTAGATGCACTGAGTGCCTAAATTTGTATTTGAGGGCATGAAAATTTACATTTAGAATATATTTAGTTGTATTTAATGGAAAACGTTTTGAAAAAAAGGATTCCAGTTGTCTCAAATTAGTCACCCATGTTTGTGAAACTTTTGATCTGTTTCAGTTACTTTGCTACAAAATAGAGATAACAACATCAATACCTCATCTCATAACTGTTTTGAAGATAAATGATACTTTCTGAAAAAGCTAAGCTATAATAGTGAGTGGGATAGAAAAATGCATGTGAAATATGAGTCATTCTGTCTTTGTAGTGGAATTTGTTTAGTGTGAGGAAAAAAATACCTAGAGTCACATTTTGAAAATGGGAGGTAAAATCCTGGATAAATAGATATATTAAGATGTTCAGCTAAATCCCATGGGAAGAAATGTTAGGCTATATCATAGCATGGATGCATACAAAGGTATACACTAAAATTGACAAACAACTGTGATTTGAATATGTCCTGATATCCAAGTGCTTAAATTTGCAAACTTAAGAGGGTTTCGTAGCTTCTGTGCATGTGTGGTCTACTATTTGATGAATGCAAAAATTGACACAAAAAGCTCCTTCCTGTAACATCTTATAGGTCCTGAACTATTTCTTCTCTACCACTGGAATATTCTGATCTGCTGCACACCCCTTTGCATTAGATTAGATGAAAACAGAAGTAAAATAAATGTGAAAGAAGACTATTTCTGATCTAGCTCTTCCTCACCTTGATCAAATCCCCTTTGCCTGTGAAATGCTACTTCTTTATTCAGCCTCTTAATTTCATTCTCTTTGTCCCTTTAGGAATCCATCATATCCTTCAGTCTCACTGTTTGAGTCTCTGCTTTCCCCTTATTCTGTGTTTTTGCTGCTGTCCAGATCCACACCTACATCCAGATGGAAGGTCCTGGACTTCGAGCATGAAGTGCAGCTCGTTGCTCTTTGGCCAGATCTGGGTAGCTTTCCATTAAGATGGCAGAAGATGCTGCCTGAATATGAAAGTCAGCAGCCTGCCAAATTTCAGAATACATCATTGTCAGTGCTGCCTAAAGAGTGTTTCCTCACAGTTTTTGTAGTACAGCAGAAACAATATTTTTCTCTAGCCTCCCTGTCAGAAGTAATTAAATTGTCTTGGCAGAATTTTCAAAAAATATTCCAGATTTTTTTTTTTAAAGCTCAGACTAAATAAAGCAATAGAAAACAATCTCATCATGGAGAGTCCCGATCAGCTTTAAAATTAGTTGGAGAGGTAACTTCGCTTGTACTTGGTGTAATAGTGCTCAAGGCACAAGATTGAGAAATACTATGGACTGTCATACCATGTCTCTGTGCAATGTCTTTCTTACGTGGGTTTTTTCATATGAAAATGTTCTTTTCTGCTCTCCCTAGGTAAGAAATTACACAGAATGTGCCTGTGTCCAGAGTCGCCAGGTGATCACTCCACCCACAGTGGGCCAGCGCAGTCAGCTCCGGCTGGTGATTGTCAAAACCTACCTGAATGAGAATGGCTACGCTGTTTCTGGGAAATGTGATAGAACCTGCAACACGCTTATCCCCTTCCTGATATTTCTCTTCATTGTTACCCTCATAACAGCATGTGCCCAGCCATCAGCAATTATAGTGACACTCAGGTGAGAACTCAGTGATGGTCTTGAAGTATTTTTGCTGTGCCCGCTGTCACCAGTGCCTGTCAAGCTCGTGTATCCTTAAAAAGTAGATAGGATAAAGCTGACAGGGATAGGGTGAAACTTGCTTGTATTTAGAATATGTAACATGATAACCCACTTTAGGAAATAAGAAGCAACCAGTGAATTCCAGGTGTTATAAATTAAAAACAAGTAACACATCATGTAAGAAAATTATTACTCCTGAAAAATTTTCAGTTTTCTTAGAGCAATGGTCTGGATTCTCAAATGCAAATAAAAAAGGTTACTATTTAAAATTATCTTTTTCTCTCTCCTAAAATTGTTCATTCCTACCACATGCCTGTTTTTGAGTCTTCCCTTTTTTTCCTTCACCAGAATTTTGAACTTCTACTGTAGTAGTGGTGTCATCACTGTGGTCGTTTAAGGATAAAGAGCAATACAGTCTTTGTAGGAAAAGGCAGTGGCATTTATTTTTCAGTTTGAAAAAAAGCATTTGGATTTTTGGATTGGCTTTTCCCATCTTTGCCATCTAGTTTAATAGACATAATCATTCCCTATAACATCTTAGTCCATTTAAAATACGGCACCTGTAAGTGAAGTTCTCCTGATTTTTAAAGACAAGCGAGCTGAGAAAACATAGTATGCTATACTGCTAAAGTAAATTTGTATATTATATGTTGCTGCTGTTTAAAGAGAAGGAAAAAGAATTAGAGGAAAATTACTTACTAGAATTTACAAAGCACACCGATAAGCATTGCTTCTGCTGGTAACAGAAGGACAAAGGGAATGGTTTGAAGATGTCTGTTTGGTTTGGGATCTGAAGCTGAAGATCTCAGAGTTCAGAAAGTAAGTTCCTTTCAGATGGAGATGAGCTGGAAGATAGAATAGAATAGGATAGGATAGGATAGGATAGAATAGAATAGAATAGAATAGAATAGAATAGAATAGAATAGAATAGAATAGAATAGTTAGTTGGAAGGGACCTACAATGATCATAGAATCATAGAATGGCCTGGGTTGGAAGGGACCTTAAAGATCATCAGTTCCAACTGCCCTGTCATGGACAGGGACACCTTTCACTAGACCAGGTTGCTCAGAGCCCAATACAAACTAGCCTTGAACACTTCCAGGGATGGGGCAGCCAGAGTTTCTCTGGGCAACCTGTTCCATCACCCTCACAGTCTAATCTAATCTAAACCTACTCTCTTTCAGTTTGAAGCCATTTCCCCTTGTCCTGTCACTACATGCTCTTGTAAATAGTCTCTCTAATCATCCAACTGCTGACACTCCAGGACTGAGCAGAAATGAAAACCTGTTAATAAGGGCATTGGCCAAATACTGACAGGCACTGGGCATCAACCACATCTCTAGGAAGCCTCTTCCAGTGTTTCAGATGCTCTTCAGAAGCACATCCAAAATGATCCAGATGCAAATGGGCATGCTGTCCCTGGGACCAGGTTAGAGCTGATCTGAAGTAAATCCCTACAAAACCTGAAATGCTTGTGGTGTACATGTCAGGTCTTCATCACTAGCTGTTTAGCTGCATTAATTGCTAACATAGAGACACCTTTTGTCCTGTTTTTGTGTAAAATTTGTCTTCAAATTGAGCTTTTCTTTAAACCAGTCTTGGGCCTTTTCTTACTGTGAGAATGGTCTTCCCAAGCCAGTGGAATTTTCTCCGGGTAGTGTTGTCTTTTAAGAGCTTCACTTGGATATTCTGAGACCGCTGATGTTCTGCTGCTGCTCACAAATAGTCCTCTATAAAATACTAATAATGGCAAATCTTTGTAATAGGTCATGGAACCTTGGAAAATGTGAGGCAGGTCAGGACTTTGCTTTGCTATCCTTAGGCTCAGTTGTGAGCACAGCTGAGAAACCCTCTGGCAGACATCTTTGTCTCATCCCCCTCAAGGACAAGCAGTCTTTTGCTTTTTCTCAGCTCAAAGGGCTAAGGTTTATACAGAAGCCTGCTGCTGACACATGGAGGGCACGTGCAATGTCACACTGCGGAATTTGTCTTTCAGTTTCTTTTCAAAAAGTCTACAAAATGGGTTCAAAGATCACTCTTAGGACAGTGAAGCCAGGCACTTGGGGGTGGGCATGTCAGACTTCCAGTTGCTCATGCAGCTTTACCTCAACTACTGTGTGCACAGCACCATTATAATTCAGAGACTTCTGACTTAATTCCTTCTGTCTCTGGGTTTTCCACCTATAAAGTAATCCTAATAAAAAAATGTTGTCGTTGCATTGCAGTCACACAAAGGCAAACTGCAATCAGTGAGCATTAATATTGCAGTGAGCCTCACAATAGTGAGGTGCATAAGGGAGATCTCCAGCAGGATTTTGTAGTGTTCAGTAAAAAAATGGTGGCCCACACACATGAACAGTCATATTGTGCTTAGTACATCAGTCCAAGGTTTGTGGTCCAAGTTGTATCTCCAATTTCTCAATTGCTTGACTTCAAACCTTGATTTTACAGCTGCACCTCGTTGACTGCAGACTTTTTGTTGTTTTTTGTCTTATGTTTTCAATGTCATTAGAAGCTGTCTATCTTAATTTCAGACCTTTAGGTTAAGAATTGAAAATATTTTTTAAATCAGTAGATAATTTGTGGTTTATTAAAATTGTAGTTGCACTGTGGAATCTTGTTACTTTGTATTTAGTCTTTTGTAAGCTAGACATTTTTCCTTTGAAACCAATTGAAAGAATCTTATATTACTTCTATCGAAAAGGAACAGTGTTTAAGGAGACTGTTTGGATGTTTCTACTGATACTTTTCATAAAGTAGCTCCAAAGCTACGCAGAGATCTGTTAAATTCAGAAACTGAGTCCAGCTTTCAGAAATTTAGTTATCCATTAATTGAAATTTACATCAAAAAGATTAAGAAAAATAAATTAAGACATATGAAATAATAGAAAGCTATCATATGAAGCCATAAACATTTTGGGTGGATTCTCTAAATTTCCTTAATGGGTTTGGATCAAATTCTTCAGGCCTTATGTAAAGAAAGGTTAAAAGGCATGATTGCGATTTTGATTAAACAAGTTCAGGAGCGGTTGGCAGTATTTTTTCCTAGCAAGAAGAGTTAACGATAGTAGAAGCTAAATAGAAGAAATTTAGACAAAAATTTTCCATAGCTCAGAAAAAACCCATGGGGTAGAGCCAGATCATACCATGATGACTATCTGTTGTGGATGTTTCTATAGTGGAGTTTTCTTTTTGCCTGCTAGGTCTGTGGAAGATGGAGAGCGGCCCTTTGCACTAGGAATGCAGTTTGTTTTATTACGAACTCTTGGTAAGTATTACAGTAGCTCAGCATTTCCATAAAAGCTCACCATGTTCAGCTTAAATGTACTATAAAAATACTAAACTTCCATAAATCTGGAACTAATTGCCTGATTACTGTATTAGGAACCTAAAATTGATAGTTTCTGAAAACATCGTATCTGAAAATGCAGTTATTTCTCTTTTTTTTTTGTTACTGACTTCCTAGAACAACATTTTTGTCCCAAAAAGATACATTTTTCCAGTTTCAAACTGTACGTAAAAATTAATAGTTACTAGAATTTTTTCTTGTTTAGAAACTGATTTTTGTTGCTTTCAGCAATAACAGTAGTTTTTGTCATTTTTAAAATAAGGAGCATTCATTACTTAATGTCTTAATTTCAAGTACTTCAAAGCAAAAAGAGATGCATGTTAAAAGTCTTTATTCAACAAAGCAGCTTCTTTCAAGCTCTTGAACTTCTAAAATCCTGCCTATTAAGAACAATCCAGGTGTTCAGCCACTACGAAATATATGACTAGAGCAAGCAAGGACTATTCTAAGAGAACAGAAAGAGAAGCCCATATAGCTGCATCTGGAAGTTTTGTTTGAGGAAGGAATTTCAATCTTGTCTTAAAGGTGGTGTATTTCTGGAGAAAGCAGGAACATTCAGTGGACTGACTGCATTTTTAGCTGCCTTGGAAGTTAAGGTCTGTTTCTGAGGAAGATCTGTTCAAAAGAAAATTGAAAATCTTAGTGGTCTCACCACTTCCATCCATCTTCAGTAAGAAAATGATTTTGTGGTCTTTGGTGCTTTTTCTCCTTAATCTAAAAGCAGCACCTTTCCCAGCTCACAGGCAGTGGAAGTTCATCAAGTAATGCTACAGAGATAATGTATTTTACCCTTCCTGAGAGCAAAACTGAATTTTCTTTGAGGTGCACTTAGTTTGGGAGCTATCTGGGGACAGCAGATTGAAGCTGTACCTGCATTGTTTTCTTTGTTTAAATTCTCTCCCATTTGTGGTAGGTTTCATGTGTATAAAGTAGTGTTGGTGCAAAGACTGGCTGACCAGTTTTCCATGTTTTACATTTCGTGTAAGAACAGCAGTGTAGAAATCTCAAAAATTTTCGACCTACACTGTTTGGCTAAGGCATATAGTTCTTTTAGAAGTTTTCCACAATGTACTAACACATATTATTTCTCTTGCTATTTTTATTTCAGCTTACATTCCCACTCCGATTTATTTTGGGGCTGTTATTGACACCACATGCATGCTTTGGCAACAGGATTGCGGCGTACAAGGATCTTGCTGGGAATACGATGTCACCTCCTTTCGTTTTGTCTACTTTGGGTTGGCAGCTGCTCTCAAGTTCGTGGGATTCCTTTTTATTTTCCTGGCCTGGTATTCCATTAAGTGTAAAGAAGAACAACAGCAGAGACAGAGATGGAGGGCTTCACTGGTGAACACTGTGAGTGAGATGGTTGGACAAGCTGGACCCCAACAAAACTATGCACGGACTAGATCCTGCCCTACCTTCAGTTCCCGAGGAGACACCAATGTGGCACAAGGAATGAACTGCTTAGAACAGACATACCCCGGCCCTTTTTCAGAAGCAATAAATTCCTCAAATGAAAATGTGTTGGAAGAAGTCACTGCTGAGATATAGACCCCTGGCTTGGTAATGTAATATTTAATTTTGTTGGTTGACTTAATTACGGCGCCTTGTAAAACACCTGTGCCTTCTATTTTTAATCTAAATGTAACGTGATAAAACCAACAAAGCTTGATGCAAACAACCATAATATGTTCCTGAGGGCTGGATACCTCAAACCAAACCAGGTTCTTATTCCTCCCCTCCCAACAATGGAGTTTTAAAAATGGTGTTTGTAATTATTTCAGATGTGTCCATTAGATGTCCGTGCTCTGATCTAATATCATTGTAAAGATGAGGTGTTATGAACAGCAGAAGTCAGCGGAAGACTGACAAAAACTCATATTGTTGATGTCTAGACTCACAAGAATGCTTAAATGTATTGTCAACTTCATATCCGCAAATTGTATTTTTAAGAGAGTAGTTACTGTGAGTTCTGCTATGAAGCACAACTGAACTTATTTAAACTATGCAACTTATTTGGATAATTGTATGTGCAGCAAAATAAGTTTAAAGTTTGCTTTTAAAGACATTACTGCAACCGAATTTGAAAGGGGCTATTTTCAAACATAATCATTAAATTAAAAAATAACATGAGGTTTAAAGTACTGTTAATATCATGTCAAGCCATACAAGAATTATGCATCAGGTAATGTTTGCAAATGTTGAGTTGTAACATCTTTTTCCTGTCAAAATGTGCATTAATTTTCGTTTGATGGGATGTAGTCATTCTTCACAAAGTACACAGGCTAGGAAACTGTAATGCTTGAAGTAAAAAACTTCAGTATTAATTTATAGTAACATTAAGATGTAGGAATCATACACACATACCAGAGTGGATATGTGCATGTTTCTGTAATGTTATTTGGGTGGCCGTTACTAGCACCAAATCCATACTTTCCTGAAGAAAAAACCAACCAGTTGTAGCTTGATAGGAAGAGTTAGGCTGTCCTTCAGAATTTTGTGTATAATTCAGCTTCAGTGGAAAAGTCCTGAGGGGGAGCTAATGGCCTTGTCTCTTGTCTGGGTGGCAGTCTGGGACCTGACAGGTCCCTTGCAGCCAGCAGTGGCACACAGTTCAGGCTGGTGCTGTTTGCACTTGCTGCAGGAGTGAGTAGAGAAACCCTTCAAGAGAGCTGAGAGCACCACCCACCGTGGTGCTGGGTACGAGGCTCTCCCTCCTCTCCTGGCACCACTGGGGCACTGTGCACCCTGCCATCCAGGACAGCTGGGGAGGGGGTTCCGGCTCAGACCCTCTCATTTCTGCCACACTTCTGCCTCTGCAGCTGCCCGGTGCTGGGCAGGCTGGTTGCACAGGCCTGGAGGTCCTGGTTTTGTGGTTTGTCCCACATGTGGCTGCCTTTCCTTTTCTCAACTTCATTGAGAGCTTCTGGGAAGGCAAAGTTTAGCTCTCCTTTGGCCTTCCAGGAGAAGAGCTAAGAATAGAAATTATCAGCAGGTGTGGACTCACAAGAACTGCTGTGGCCTTTGGCTATTCCAAATTACTGTAGCATGTTTTCTCCCTGAGAGACGCTGAGACTTTCTAATCAAATGTGCTTGGCATTTCATTTCTTGTTCTGAAGGCTTTGTAGTACCATGCTTATGATGTACTAATGATGTCTCAAAGGGCAGAGAATGATTTCAGGTGGACAATAGGAAGTCAAAGCTGTATTGTACCCTGTAGGGGAAGTCTTAGAAATGTAGGAAATTAAAAGCAATCTTTACAGATGAATCGGTGATAGTCAGGTTTGGATTTTGCCATGTAGAGAGCTTGTGTGAAAATAAATAGAGCATAATTTCTACATATTTTTGAACAGAGTTATTCCTGATTTAAGTTTTCAATTTATAATATGTAAATTGATCAAACATTGTATGGAACCAAGTCCTTGAAATTAAAGGCAGTACTCTCCTTGGCATCCACAGAGTTGTCCTGGGAAGAGTAGGTTTCCCCTTCCACCTTTGCTGACTGCCTTTTGTCATCTCCTGGTTCTTCTTGAGCAGCACATAAGACTACCCACAGGGCTGCTTGCCCTGCTTGAAATGGTGGCTGCTTATTTCAGAATGTCTTAGTCCATTTATGTAGTTTGTAACAATTCTCACTCTTTCTGTAGGCAAACTCAGATTTTTCTACCCTGAATTACAACATAGAGGAATATTGTTTTTATAATTTCCTACTATTCTGTCCATATTAACAGGTTTTTGGGGTGAAGCCTGAAAATGTTTTTGTCTCTTATGCAGCCACCAGGTATGCGTCCTCAGTCAGCACATGCCACCTGAGATGTTGGCTTTCTACACTTCTTATCCCGAGAAATAAATTTCCTTGGTTCAAAGGTGTTGGGTATAATTTTCTTTTTTTGCTATAGGAGATCAGAATAGATGATATAAATGTTTCCTTCTGCTCCAGTCTCAAATGCTTGTTGCACCAGGAATTTCCTGCCATGACAAAATTTGAGGCAAAGTAGTGGGACGAAGTGTAATTGCAGCCCATCACCCATCCATTTTAATCACTTCCCCATTTTAATGATCATAGGGTGAGGTGAGGAGTGACAATCTTTTCAAATACCTCAGAAACAGAGCATTTAGGGAATTGTAAAAGACTAGAAATGAATCATTTATCCTGATCTTTTCTATTTCATGCCTTGTGTGTGCGCTTCTGTTCCATGAATAACAAGAGAGAGCAGATTAGGATTGTCAGGAACTAACGGCATTGATGCCAAAGAATGAGAGAAGTGACACATCTGCAGCTGCTGCTTCTGAGTTTATTTCAAGGGAATTCAGAGCTTGTTGGGATGGAGACCACTGATTTTTTTAGGAAATCCTGACCCTTTAACTTCTAAAAAGATTCATATTTTGAAATGTCTGAGAAACTGGAATTTTTTACTTTTTCTTTGAAAATTATATGCAAAACAAAATTCTTTACTTTTCAAAAAATTTGTTACTATTTTTGGATATAGATAATTTTGACAATTCGAATAAATTTCTACAAAATCACTTAATTAAATTGGCATCCTCTGAAAGAAAGAAAACCCAAACTGTGGCCAGTTTTTGATTCATTCCTGAAGGAGGGTTTATTTGTGAGTAAGCTATAACAGTCTAAACTAACCCAATAAAGGCATGTAGGGGAAACACATTAACTTCCTAGAGAAGTCAATTCCAACATTGTAATTGACTGAAATATGGACTGAGACCTGCTGAACAAACACTATTTTCTGAGGTTGTCATTGCTGAAGGAAGCAGAATTGCCAGAGAAGTTGAGTGCCTCCCTAGCAGCAGTCATGATCAACATGTGGTGCTAAACCAACTTCACAGTAACTAAAAAAGAACTTTGCCTGTCATCCAGTGAAGGGGCCCATGCTGTCTTCCCACTGTGAAATCCTCTCACCATAGAATATAAAATTCCATTAATTTCCACCACCTTCCCTCTCTACCCCAAAATACATAAGGTTTGGTAGCAGTGAGTACAAAAAAAGGTAAAGCAGGTGTCCTGTTCACCCACAGGCTGCTGTTGGTAGCAAACCCAAGTCACCTACCTGCACTTAACCAGCCAGTGGTAATATGGAACAACAATGTCTGGTGATCTACTACAAGTCCACAAAGTGCCATCATGCCCTCACAGGAACAGACTTAATTCCCTTTTACCCCACTTATTCCTGATTTAGAGTGAGGAACATGAGAGGAGAAGTAGCCCAAATATATGGACTTGACTGAACAGATAATCGTCCCTGCATAGCCTCCCATTCATCCTTGTTTCCTCAAAAAGGAGAAAACTTCAGAATGGTAAATGTGTAGTCATGGCCTTGGGTGCTCAAGAGTGCAGCACCCTCCAGAGATGGTTCCTAGATCTTTCTGGGTCTGGAATAATCTGGAGAGTGGGACTCTTTCTCCCGTTTTAGGCAAAAGTGCTGTGGTTTTGGTTCCCCTTCTTCTCCATGAGCATAGTGGATGTAATAGGATATAATTTGGAACTGGTGACATTTTATATCCTTTCAGTACAGTGTGAGCAGCTGCAAGAAACGTTGAATATTATGGTGCAATTTATATTTATTTGGAAACTTTTAGTTCTTTGGACAGCCTATGTATTTTTAAAAGTATGTGTAGTAACATGCAGTTTCTCAGAACTTGCTGTTATGTAAGCAGAGTAGGGGCACAGATCTCCTACTAGGTATTGGAAATGTAAGTTTGAGAGGCCCTAAACTAGTTACAAACACTTGAGTATACTGTTTTCAAAAATACGTTTGTTTGGGTTTTTTTATTAACCACTAATTCATTATGGCTCTGATCCAGCAGAACACTTTAATATGTATGTAAATTTATATACTTAAGTAATGCACTTAAAAATGATGTATGTATGTAAGTATGGGACTGAGTCCCATCTGCATTAAAAAAGGAATTCCATTACCCAAAGAGTATTTTCCATGATGAGCTTTTTCCCCATGGATTTAGTGATAATTGTAACCAGAACAGCACAAAGTAGCACTTGAGTACTCTCCTGTGGCATTCACGTGTGGCTACTTATATATCTGGCAATGGAGGAAAGTTTTCATTTTCAAGTAGAATTCAAATTAAAAATATTTTGTGGACATACTCCAAGATACATTCCAGTTCTTCCAGCCATTCACTTATTTTATGAATATCCGGCTGAAAACCTGTGTGTTACATGGGGAGACAGATTAAATAAGGGCATCTTTCTGACCTTAGAGCCAATGAAATTTCTCAAGTGATGCTGTAAGTTTGAATTGTGCCCTTTCACAGAATTTGGACCTAGAGGTTGAGGTGACAGATTTTCAATATCCCGCACAAGTGGAGCAGAGCACTGCCTGCTCAGTGTAACTCCAGAGAGCATGTCTGGGAGAGGGGTCAACACCTGCTGTACTGTTCTTTTGGGGTTTTGCCCCAAAAGGCCTGAATAATTGCTGCCTTACTACACTTCCTGTGTGTGTAATACCACAGCTCTTCATGGTGTTCTATTGACATAAAACTGAAGATAAATAAATAGGTCCAAAGTGTCTTACTGCTATTTTGGAGCCAGATTCTCAGCCTCATCAGTCCAATGTTGAGGCTGAAAAACTGGGCCATACTTTCAGTTGGAATTTAACAAGTTGGAGCTTTAGCAAGTGCTTGTTTAGCTTTTATACTCTATTCACTGGTTGCTACTAATATTTTCAGAGATCAAATACAAAAAACTTCCTAAATAAGTTTATCCTTTTCTGTTTTCTCAATAATGTGTCTTTTATAATGGCATAGGAGATGCAATGCTGCATTGCTTCAGTATCTGGGTTCCCCCAGCTGAATCCATCCAGCTGTGGTTGCTTTCCAAGGGCTTAAAATACCTGGTAACAGAGATTTACCTGGACTGCAATCTGAATCACAGTTGCTTTGGGCAGAGTGTTTGCCCCTTGTAGATTAAACCTGTATCAACACATTTCAGGTTCTTCACATACTGGACTTGATTTTATGGACACTTTTATGACTTTAAAGTGCTTAGAAGATGGGCAGTCAATATAATGGTGGTAGACTTGTTCTTTGGTAGAGAATTAGGGCTTTCTTTTTTCTTCTTTTACCATCTCGTTTTACAAATAGCAATTCAAAAAGGTTACATGTAAACATTGTCACAGAGTTACCCATATCCTGCAGCCATATCCATTACATTAAACTACAGTTAATGCCTGCGGTTTTTAGCAGTCGCCCCTCCAGTCCTTAAGGCATGCTTTTTCTTTTCTATTATTACTGCCTTTTAAACACAGAGGTAGCTCTACAATTTCAAAGTAGCTCCAAAGTTTTCTTGACTTCAAGTGGTACAAAATAGATGCTTATTTATCTGGGTTCCATTCTACTGTTCTAATTATTGCATTACCCGTTGTGTATACTATATTCTCTTAGTTTTTCAATCTCAAACCAGTTGTCACAATGTTATTCTGTAACAATGTTTTGTTTGTTATATAGAATAGGTGAAAAGCTGTGGAATTCATGAAGGGCTACAAAAAGCATCCAAAACATTGTTCACCTTGAGAAGGGTAAAGACAGCTTGATAATCTTTGGACAAATGACTAAACAACACTGTGGTGCTAATAGGTACTGAAGTATTTTATGATGTATTCACTATGACTTAAATGACATGTTCAAGGCATGTCAGTGATGCAACTGCATGTGTTTTTGTTCTTAAAGTCTGGACTATTCCAGCAAAGACAGTGTTTGTAATTCCTGGTGGGCCAATTCCTACCTAGCTCTTCTGTGGGAGAGTAATTTCAGGAGGCAGTGTAGGATTTGGCCCAGCACTAATAACTAAGGTAAAAGCTATATAGGCCACAGAAATCTATGTAGAATGTATTCATCCTGCTGTAGCATATTACTGTATTTAGTTGCTTTGCTTAAGCAAAGGCTAAATATAAATTCTATAGTAATGGCAAGAAACACTAGGCTAAATTCTGGCACCCCTTAACCAAACAATGTTAGTAAGGGTTTGAATTAAAATGAGGATTCAGATCTGAAATATGAATGTTCTTTCATGGAATACCAGAAAGGAGGGATAGAATAAGAGTAAATTCTATCTCTAGCAATGGGAAAAGGCCAAATCTGGTTGACTATAAGGTGAGCTACGATTTAAAACAGACGGTTTGGGGCTTAAAATCTTGAACACAAAATTTTTTCCCTCCCATTTTGAATTGCAATTATTTTGTGTTATTGTGCCTGGACTACTCATGCAGAAGGACGTATCTGTATCCTAAATAGCACTAAGAGCACTAATAGCACTAATTACACTTCTGGCTGACAAGCCAGAAATTTTACCTCTGTAACAAACTCTGTATTTGAAATTGTGGAGGGAAGTTTCAAAATAAAACAAACAAACAAGAAGTACAAAATGATCCAGAGCTGAGTTTCAATAAAAAAAAAGAAGAAAATAATTTTGTGTCAGTGAGATCCATGGTTAAGTGAAGGCTTTCCTCAAAAGAAGGAAGACCTGTCCTTTTCCCCAGTTGAGCACATGGGAGTTTTGCCCTTGGCTGCAGTGCATACCTCTACCAAATGACTTATGCAGAAGAGCAACAGTCTGGGTAGTATCTTAAGAGCATGGAGTGGGCACACTGCCTGTAACTGGTTAGTTTTTAAAAAACTCATTATTAAGCAAATGTGTAGAGTATTAGGGAAATTTGTAGGGTATGTCTGACCGTATGAGTGTGTGTGTGCTGTGCTGTGGTAAAAAGAGAATAATTGGTTTATGCTGGTTTTTTTGCATACTTTAAGCTTCTGTATGGTTTGGGGTTTTTTTAATTGATATTTATTTCTCAGCAGAGCTTAGAATAATTTTGTAGCTGTATAACCCATGACTTAATGAAATCTACTGTCAGCATCTGTTGTAAACATGTGTTTACAAAACAAACTCTTGAATACTTGATATTTGGAAATAAAAAATAGCATATCATGTGTGTTTTATTTCAAACAAAAAAAAAGAAGGCAAGAAAAAAATGTACATAGGTAACTGTGTAATCACTGTGGATGAAGTGATGAAGTATTTGGTCTTTTAGTACATTGTCAGACAAAAAATCTTTCCACTGAATTCATGACCACCAAGTCACAACTAAGCATTGATTGTGCTGAATTAAATTGTAAAATTCCACCATTTTGTCTAGCCATAAATTTGATTGACATTAGTTATATGCTAAGAAATACAAATTTGAAATAGATATTGACAGTTGGAAAAAATACATAGACTGCAAGACTATGTGCATCTATGCTGCTCAATAAGAGGGCCGGGGCATAAACCCAAGGATTGGAGTCCTAATGTCCACTCTGCTGACTGCTGAGTTCACTCCTTGGCTCTGATTTGGGCCACACCAACAAAGTGCCTCTATGTGGTTTGTGGGGACTGGCTGTAGTGCAGGAAGCTCCCACTCATGGGAGCTGAGCCAGTTTTGGTTTCCCCCCACCTCTGCAGCCACCCAGCACTGCAGGCTGTGTGTCAGTGACCCCCATGTCCCCGTGCCGCACCTCAGGGACGGCAGCACACCGTGCAATAGGAGCTGTAGGAGCTCTGCTCCCACCCTGTAGGAGCTCTAGGGGTTGCAACACAGGCCTTGTATTACTGCAAACATTTAAAAATGAAAACAAATGGAAATTATATTTTGTGTCCGCAGGAACATCAGCACAGAGCCAAGGGGAGACCCAGGGCTAAGAGCTACATGTTGTTGATGGGGCCAGCCTGGCCTAGCAGTGTGGATGTGACCTTGCTCATACAATTTGGCTTCACAGCTAGGTTTTCTATTCTCTGGACTTACTTTAATTTAAAAGTATAGGTGTATCCATGGTTGGCAATTCTGTCCCAAGGTGGCCTGGTCTTTCAAGATCAAAAGAACTGCAAGTTGAAGTTAAATGTATTTTTCTAGACATATTTCATTATTGAATCTTTATACTTACAGTTTTTTGACCTGTAGTAGGTTTCACAGCTGGGTGAGCTGGGGCTTGTTTCTATGAAACTTCTTCACTGTTCAGTGTACTGTGAATACTATGAGCCACCACACCCCAGCAATGACCAAACAATGAGCAAAAAGTTTGCTGCAATGGAGCAGCTGAATTTGCATTGATTCAGGATATGGCTTGTCTTTCTGAGGTATCTAAATCCATTTGCTTTCAGACCACAGTCACAAACTGTGGTGATGTGCCCAGCACCTACCAGATTCAACCCCTCAGCCAACCCTGCAGCTTCAGCTGTTGTGCTTAGTCAGGAAGAAGCTACTGTTTCATTGACAGCACAGAAATCTATAGGGTCCAGATCCTCTCTGATGTTCATGTTCAAAGTATGACTTGCACATTTTCATTTCCAATATATCTAACCACACAAAAAAGCATCTTGCAGATCCCCCTGGATGTCACTAGTGTCCCAGACCAGAACTGTTAAACCAAGGAGTGTGCTGTGGATGAAGTTAGTAGATTTGTAGCACATCGCGGTACCGTTGCTGTTTGAAAACCGATTAGATAACCCACTTGGCAGCGGCTGGAAGCACAGCGGTGGGTGCAGGGCTCAAGGAGAGGCGCTTGTTGTGTGGCTCTGCACTGACACCTGCTGCCCGAAAGGGTGTAAAGTAACCCTAGGCAGCCCCTAGGTAGCTCAGGCTGTGACTGTGTTCCCCCTCAGGGGACAGAAACACATCTGTTTCCGAAATGACTCTTTGGCTTGTACCCCATTTACTACATATCAGGTTTCACTGCAAAATGGTGTCAGAGCACGTAAACAGGACTGTTTTTTGCTGAAAGTAAAGGATGTTTTGTGACAGCATCACACCTACCAGACGCCAACCATCCACAGGTGCTCAAGCCTCAAGTCTAGGCCTGGGCAGATCCTCCCTGAACAGGGCTGTTGCAGTTCTTGCCTTCTCAGCCTTGACTGTTTTACACACAGACCCTCCCACTGTGCTTGCATGACTTCCACTATAGATAGCTGCAGGCATCTAAAGGGACTTTAGTGGGGAGAGTGGGGGTGGTCTATGCTCAGACCTGAACTCTGAAAAAATCTTCACTCAACTGTCACAAAAACCTAGAGGTGGCTGAACTCCAGAACAATGTTCTGATCCAAATGTTTTTTTGCTTTTGTTTTTGTTTTTTTTTCCCAAACTGTTAGAGTGCATTAACACCTCAGGAACAGCAGGATTTACTTGCCAACAACAGCTCTTAAGTTATGTCCCTGCCCATGGTGGGAGGCTGGAATTAGATGATTTTTAAGGCCCCTTCCGACCCAAACCATTCTGTAATTCTTTGTCTGTAGTCCTGGAAAAGAACTTTTCTAGTTCTGAAAAAAATCTTTGCTTTTCTTCAGGGTTCAGTTGCTAGGTCTCAGAAAGTGTCTCACGCTGTCCAAGGGTGTGAGGACAATACTGGCCACCCTATTTTAAATTCTAGGAGAAACTTTTCACATAACATTGGTACCTCCCAAAGATGTGTAAGCCTTAAAGTTCTTCAGCTCCAGGCGCTCTTCAGAAAGTAATGAACAGAATAGACACACCTGCCACTGCTCTGCAGATCAGAAAAAGCCAAGAACGTCCTCCTCTCAACCCTTCCCTTGCCTTCAGTGCTTGCTGATGAAGTCAGATTTAGGCACTTGTTTTGTTCCTGAGCCTGCAACTGCCTAATGCCTGTAAAAGCTTCCTGACAGTGACACCATGTGCTGCTCATGGACTCAACGCTTCAACTACAGGACAAGAAGTACTGTACAGAAAGAAATGCAAAAGATATTCAGAAAGCAACACACTGCTTAGGATGCATACTTAGGGATACGACAGATTTTGCCCTCTTTAACTTGGCCTAGTTTTATATTTGATGCATGTTTCCAAGAGAGCAAGGATCAGAATTCATTGCTCTCTGTACCTCTTGGCTACAGAATGAGTGTTTTATACTTTCCTCCACACTCCTGTAAGAGAGCTGTAAAAAAGGCTCCCACCTAGTTTAGAAGATAGGGCACTAAGCTTCTGATAGTTTAGAAGACTGAGCACTGTCCTAGAAGTTTCCATTTCCTAAGTGAGTACTTCAAGCTCTCAGGTAAGAAGGAAGGACAAGTGAATGGGTGGACCACACTATTACACCATGCCCTTCTTTATCTCTACCTAAGCATTAAGAGAGAAGAAAGCATCTTGCTTGGTTCTTTCAAAGAAGAGCTCTTCCAAAGAATGTAGGGCACATTGTTGGTGCTGGATAATTCCCTGCAAAAGATAGGAAAGGTAGTTATATGGGACCTTGCTTCAATTTGCCTTTGTCCTTCAAGTCCTCCCAAACGCACTGGCTCAGCCTACTCTGCACCCTGTTTTGAAATACATCCTGTACTTCCCAGTGTGCTTTCCAGGGCAGACATCTCTCAGGGTCTATCTGGCACTGCAATGACTGCTTTTTGAACACTTAGGTTCACCCTCTTTCCTGATTCCCACAAATTTCATCTGTCACTTCACACTGGCCGGAGCATCAGTGTCCAAGGACTATGTAAAAGAAAGAAGAGTTCAAGAAGCTGAGTTCAAGATTCAGAGGCTGAGTTTGGGTATGAAGCTAATCTTATTCACAGCCTGTCGAACAAACACAGAGTGCAAGTAAGAGGGAGTGAGGGAGTTTACTTTGAAACCTAAATTCTTTTTTGTGATGACTCTTGTACAACGAGACACTCCTCCTGGCTAAAGATCTGTGGTCCACTCTTGCTAAGCCCTGTGTGTCCTGTCTACTGTGCTTTGCTGTCACAGGGAGAACTCTGCAGGGAGGAGAGAGAGCAGCAAAGCAGGACATGGCTTTATGTAATGTTGCCTGACTTCTGGGAACTGCTGGTTGTGCAGCTCGGTGCATTGACTTCCAGGAAGAAAGGATCAGATGAGTTTGGAATTAAAAAACATAAAGTCACAGCATGTCTTAAACAAAGAAATATATATTATTCACATCTCCAGGAATAATTTATAGCTAACAGAATGTTGTGTGTTATTTTGTTACCCGTTGCTTTAAATGTGGATGGATTCTTAAAACTCGAACTGTTAACATACTTTTAAAATAAAACTTTTTTAGGAGGAAAATTGGATCATCTGGACTTCTCTGAAGCAGGTAAAGTAAAACACTTTTTATTTCAAGAAATATTGCTTCTAGACTTTCCCGAAGCCAGAATTGTACTATAAAAGTATCACAGAAATATTATACAAGATTTAAAAACACAGTTTATATCCTAGTAACTTAAAACCTATGTACAAATAGCATCATTCATGACCATAAATATGTTTTTCTATCAATCAGCCCATGACACATACATCAGATAAAGAACTAGTAATTTTAACATATTTACAGAGTCCATCAAAAAGACTGCTTCTTAAAATTATTAATCCTACTAAAAGAATCTCCTTTTTAAAAAGTTTCAACTTAAAATACAATGTAATGAATGTAAGTTTAACCTGCAGTGCTTGCAATAGCCAAAAAATACTCTCTACACTAAATAACATGTAAGAGATAGGAAACACCCGTGAGTTGGACACTATGGAATTACATCTTTTGAGGTAATTCTCTGTTGTTGTTGTTGTGCTAATTATTTAGAAATTTATAAAAAAGCAAGGGAAAATATTAAGTTTTGAGTAATACAGATTTTCAAAGTAATTTTGGTATTATACTTCATAAAATTTAATGTTTGGTAAAGTTCAAGAAAAAATTTAGAATACAACAAAAATTATCTAAACTACTATTTTTTAACCTTGTGTGCCTTTTGTTTCTAAAATAATGGAAATCTAACATGATTTTATCATTCCCTTTTATGCCTGTTCAAAACAAAGAAAGAATTTAAGACTCAAAATGATAATGCTTTCAAGATATTGTTCAGAATAATAAAAATCAGGTGGGGTGATAAAAGCATTTATCTATTGATGTAACCCTTTTTACCACTATCAGCAAAAAAAAAAAGTCAAAAAAATTAATGGAATTTTAATACTGACAGTATCAACATATAGGGAAACAATCCAATTTAAACAAATCCTTCTACAGTTAACAATCATTAGCCATACCTTTCTGAGAGTAAATTTAATTAAAGTAACAAAAACATGCAATATTTTTGCTAAAATAATACTCAGAGTCTGTTTCCTCAATCCATTCTGTATATCTCTTTCCTGTCAATCTATTTATTG